ACCAATTTTGGTCCGAATAGTGCTAGAAAAGCGTCATATATTTATATGCACTTCGGTAATTTACGCGCACACTGTACTTTTACCAAATACATTAAACGCGTGCATTTGCAAGGCGTTTGTGTTTGGCGTGACATAAGAGAACCACGCGTTCATTGCTAACTAATACACTTAGTTCGATGGTATTGGCATATACAATGCAAATTTTCTCTATTTTCACGTTGTTTTCAGCATATCATCGCAAAAAGATTGACAGATTCAGAAAAGTAAAAAAAAATATGAATGAATATCACATGGATTTAAATTTATCTTTTGATATTTGCGTCACATGAAATGCTTCAAGCGACATCATTGTGAATTTCCATTTTTGTCGTGAAATCGAAATGAATAAATTTTCAATTGGCAATTTGTTTAACAATTCTTCGAAAATGTTGGGCATAATTGATTATGTGTGAATACGTTGTGTTTGACTCTATCTCTATCTCTCTCTCTATGTTGTTGTTGCTCATTTTTTTCGAATTCAGCCTTTTCAAAATTCTACCAATTCACGTGTATTAAGTTTAATTTGCCTTATAGAGTTTATTTCATTTGCTTCGATTCGTCGGTCAATTCCAATAACAACGTATATAAATCATTTCTGAATAATTTATATTGCATTGAAATGCCACATTTTGTTTTCGACTGTAAGCCAAATGCATGCACGTAGCTACTGCATTTTAGAGCCAAATTTGAATATCCACCAATGGCTTCTGAATTTAGTAAACATTTTACCACCTTTAAGTGGCTCCCCTTTTTGTTTCAGTGAAGACTGTCGTCTCTGCTCAAATTACCATGTATAAATGGAATTAGCATCGATTTGGTAAGGCTAAGCCTTAAAAATCTGAATTCATCCGACCTAATGTAACAATAAATTGAAATCGATGCTGTCGAAAAATTATTTAATACAAGTTGTCATCTGTTTTTGTCGTGTGAATCGTCTGCTTAGCATTTTTTGTTCAATTGAAAATTGACGCTTTTCGGTTCGGTTTCTTTATGAACGATGACACATGACTTTTGTTCAATTTAAAGTGTTATGATCTTTACCAAATAACTTAACTTGCAAGTTGATTTATGGATTTCATTCGAATGCGATTAGCATCTATTTTGGCATGAAATATGGAATTCAAAGAATTAAAAAAGAATTTCGGAAAAAAAAATATAAAAACGAATAAGAACATGATTTGAAGTCTAACCATTATATGCAAATTTTGTGATGGCGTACACAATATCATCTACTATCCCCATAAATACGGATAAATATATATGTTATACATTATAAAGATACTGTTTATACTGAAAAAGTGTTCAATGCAAATGAATTTCAATCGAATGTACGAAAAATTGATTAACAGCAAATGATGTGTGCTGTAGCACATGTAACTGGAAGTGCATATAGGATAATAGCAATAATAGTAATCTTAAGAGCTTCATACCATGGTTTGTGAATGTATATAATTGCCTCTATATCAGTTGTTCAAAAGAATTCCATACCAATACACCATAAAAACCATTCAATATATTTATCAATCTTAATACAAATCACAGAGCGACGTTTTTATACTAAAAATAATCAGAAAAATGGCGCCTAAAACATTTATTGCACAAAAAACAGCACGCAAAAAGCCACAATATGTATATTTGTGTGTGTGTGTGTCTGTGATGTGTTTTTTTTCTTCGTCTCTTGTGTAGAATGCAATCGGAACCAACCGCTTGAAATGCAATCGAATTTGATTTTACTTTTGAATGTATCGTATAAAATTTGCGCTAAAAATGCAAGTAAATAAAATGAAAAAAAAACACGAACAACAAAATAAGACGGCCGTCCGGCAGTGATTACGACGGGCGATGCCCATAACTGGTTTTTTAATACTTTTAATACGAAAAGAAAAGTATAGATATTTTTTTCGTATACATGGTAGTAAAAACCATAATTCATATGAATGCATGTATGCATTCGGTCTCGATGTGATTTTTTTGTGTCTCCCCGAAGTACGTGCGAGAGTGCGTTACGTGTTGTTTTCGCAATTTGTCATTGTTCGATTCTCTTTTTTGAATACACATTGTTTATTCTTTTTTTTTTTTTTCTTCTGCTCAATCTCTGTCTGTTCGTTTTTATTTTCAATGGGGCATTTATGCAAGTGTTGAACATCTGTTAAAATCTGAAGAGTAAAAGTCTCTCAAATATATTGGTTGAGCATTGACAAATTGCCAAATGTGATTCGTCAATTTCAAAATGGCCAAATCTAATTCATGGAAATGCTTGTTGGCTTTTGAATATTCTCTAATGATTACATAAGGCAACGGAATTTATTATGTTTCAATCACATATTGGCACATCATTCGCACAAAACACAATGCACAAGATGAATTTATGTGTGTGTGAAAGGGAGAGAGAAAGAGATGTGTGTTTGACGACGTGGTGTCGATATATGTGCCAGAATATGTTATAAATGCGAACCGTGCGAGGAAAAAATACACACACTCATCCTCCATTGCTATATTCAATGAGCCAAATAAAGAATATATTATATTTAAGCAATCCGACAGCAACAAAGCATTAAAAAAATCACTTAAAAATGTAGAAAATTGCCCGGCAACGCGAAACGCAAGTACCACTATGTACTATACAGGACACTAATATATACACGCGAATAAACAAACGAAAAAAAATTGAGTGCGTAAATGATAAATCAGATGTGGGCCTTCATAATTGAAATTAAACAAACACTTCAGGTTGATTTTTATAAACAAACCGCGAGTGAACCGTATACCTCTCGTTCATGATATTTCAAAATACATGGTCGAATTCAACGAGATAATTCATCGTTATTTGGATGGACTCCTCTTATGTTTGCATATTTGGACCAAACGTGGGGGTCTTGTTTATTCTATTTCATAGTATCTATGCTGTAAACATTTTCAACCAAATTCAATGTGAAATCGACAACAAAACCATCCAAATTTTAATATTCGAAAACAACACATGGTGCTTGTCAAACGCAGCAATACATCATTAATTATGGGATTTTTGACGAGCGTTGAACAATTATTGTACGTGAACCAACCTGTACAACAGTAGATACGAACAAATTTTAACAATACAAAATAATTAACATCCATTAAAATTGTATTGAACTGATTGAGACAAATGTGTGAATGAATTTCTCTCTTTACTTTTCAGCTATGATCAAAATGTTCGACAAAAACAAAAACCAAAATTTTGTCACATGCAAATTTACCGTTTGAGAATTCACCGAAAAATAGTTGTGTTGAGCGCTATTCGTCGATGCTTTTATTTATCTCGAGTGCCACACAAAAGCACCATTTTTACACCTATTTTCTTTCATTAGTCACAATTACGTGCGAAATTGATCTATTGAAATTGATGGAATCATTTGAATGGAATCATTGAAACATGTCATGTGGATTGTTCATTATTATTTTTTTTCTCCTCCAAATAATGATTCAATTATGGCATCTCTCCAATTCTAATGTAAATTTATTCAACATTTAAAATCGTAATGAACTGTTTCTTATTTGGCTAATAAGTTTTGATGAGTGCAAAGAAAAGAGTGTTTATATAGGGTAAAAGCAATTGGTTAATCGAGATTTCCAAATAATCTACGTAGACGACCGTACGGTATTCTATTCAAATACATCATTGTTTTCTATTTTGTTCAAATGAACATGAAAAATAGAAAGAAAGTCGTCTCGGGACAAATCTTTTATGAATGCGACTAAGACGAATCAATTGGCGTCAAAATGAAAAGAAACATATCGAACGAGACACGCATATATTTAACGGCAATTGCTTTTCAATGAATTGGTTTGGCGAAGAACAGTCGAATGTCTAATGTTTGTGTGCGTGAACAATTTGTCATGTGTGTATTTTTGATGGTTCGGGTCGTGCACCTTATTGATTTTGTATTAAAAATACATAATTTTAAGTGCGTCTATTTATTTGGTTAAATATATGTGATATTGTCGTCAAAACGAAACTTATTTTTTTATTTTATCGAACTACTATATGGAATCGATTGAAACACTCACGTGCTCGCCATCCATAAATGTACAAAAAAAAGATAGAGAATGCTTCATCAATGAGCTAATGTAAAGAAGCATATATATTTTGCGTGGAAAATTATTTCGAATTTATATGCTAATATGCGAGGGGAAAAAAGCGACGAAGCAATAGTTCCAAAAGCGATGAACAAAAATAGGCACTTTTGAAATGCATGGTGTGTTAGCTCTAAATTACAATACAGTCTGAAATAGTTCTTCAATGTCAACGCATAGATTGAGTCTTCTAAACGGTCTCTTGATTTACGACGATCATTGCAGACACTTCTCTTCCTTAGTGCAATAAGTAATATGTTGTATACAAACCGTGTTTTGAAACGAAAATATGAAGAAAACACTCCGCATAGCAAAAAAAACGTTTAGCTTGAACTATAAATGGACTTGATACACCATTAATATAGTCCTATTGTGTGCACTTTATTCTTTCTCATCGTTAAGACAATATTTTCCATTTATTTTTAATAATGCGGAAAGTTCCGCAATGCGTATGGTGTTCGCATTTTAAACAAATATACCACTTTATGATAAATTGAAAAAAAAAAAAATCAACGATTATGTAAAATACGTGGGATTGACATTTGTCGGGGTGAAAAGTGTTCGAGGAAATGTCGGAAATTGAAAGCAATATCATCGAATGCTCAAGAAAAAAAATATACATTTATTTTTTGATGAAATAAATTTTCTTCTATTCTTGGAAAAAAATCTATACCGAATATCAAACTTATTAGAATTTTAGACGTTTAATTACTTATAACTTTTGATGGTAACGTTGTTTCTTTCAAAAAAATATTTTCTTATGCTGTCATCATTTTCTTAATTATTTATACAAAAAATCTATTGAACGTTATTAATACCATAATAATTGTATTTTTCTTTTTAAATAGAATGAAAAATATAACCAAACTATGGACCGGAATTGTGTTATTACAATTGATTGTTGTTGCGTTTGCAGCCGACCCCAAATTCGATCCGACTACGCTTATGCGATTAGTTTTAGTGCCAGCTGATGCAGCAGTTGGATCGGTTATTTACCGCCTCCGTGCATCCGATGAAGAATTTGATTATCCATTGACATTTGAACTCGTTGGTATGGAGAGAAAAAAAAAGACTCGTTTACAAAATAAAACTTCTTTTTATGCTAGTAGCAATAGATTGTTTACCTTGCTGTGCAAAACTTCGGGAACGACTGTGGATTTCAAGACAAATTTGCGTTTGTTTTTTAACGATGAACATTCAAAATCTGATATACGGTTTTTATTTTGTTAGAATAAAAAAATATATGCAAAATTCATTGAAAGCCGATAGTTGCACCCAAAGTTTTGCACGACAATGCTTACCATATTCTATTGTTGTTTACATAATCGTTTAGATGGTGCGTCATCATCAACAGTTCAAATTGAAAACTTAGAATGTACGAAATACAATTCAATTTGCCAAGCTAATGTGATTTTGATACGACGATTGGAACCGGGACGATACTATGACTTCAAGGTTTCTGTTAAAGACACCAAAGGTGGTATGACACAACAGAGCTGCTCAATAACAGCTACTAATTATACGACCCCGCATGATCTAATATTTCCACACAAAGCTGGCATTATTATGGTGCCCGAGGTAAGGTGTTTTCTACTACTTTTCCTTCGTTTAGTTTTTGGTGACCATACAAATTATATCAGTATATCATCGAGAATTATTTGAAAAAAAATGAACATTTTAAATTGTTCTATTTTGATTTTTTATTTATCTAATTTGATTTAGGATGCAAAACGTGGTACAATGCTCGACTATGTCATTGCGCGTAAGAATCCGCTTTATTCGAAGGATGTAATTTTAGAACTGCATGGATCACCGTTGTTTGCCATTCGCCAAAAAATTGTATCGCCATCGACTACAGAAGGCACTATCATTTTGCTGGGACCATTAGATTTCGAAATGAGATCCATGTTTCATTTGACAATACTAGCAAATGTAAGTATTGAAAATGCCATAATCGATCATAATTTAAGTTGCCTCAGAATTTTTGACTCTGCGACAATATTTTGGAGGGAAGCTTTTGCGTGTAAAAAAATCTCCATCTCAGCTTTTGAAAAGATTATGAAGTCCGGTATATGAATAAAGCCGACATCTTAATAACAGCCCATTTCTCATCGATTATGATGTGTAAATTAAAGTCAGTGTATTGCCCAATTGACATTATAACGACTAACAGCACTATATTATTACAATGCCCCGCCATTTAATTATTTAATAACGCTAAAAAAAACAAAATTGTATTTTAGGATGCATATGCCGAACCAGGTCAAGATACTAGAAACATTGCCGGGCTTGAAGTAGTCGTAATTGTACAGGATATACAAGATGTGCCACCAATTTTCACAAGTGCTCCACCAGTAACTCGACTTCCAGCTTCTCTACTGCCAGGTGACAAGGTAAATGGAAAAAGGAAATCACTCAATTCATATCATCGCCTTAATTTGGGAACCATTTTTTTCAAACTTTTTCGATTTTTTTTTTCATTTCGAATATCAAAGAGTTGAATTTTCCATAATTCATTGATTCATATTTTCAAAATTATAGATTTTGCACGTTCGTGCCGAAGACGGTGATAAAGGGAATCCAAGAGATATAAGATATGGCCTTGTTTCGGAGAACAATCCATTCACATCATTCTTCACCATAAACGATACTACCGGTAAGATCATCTTTAAGTAATCGGAGAAAAGTTCATGGCGTGACGTGAAATTTATGTTCATGCACTTCAATTTTTCTGCATTGCAACATTTTTTAAATTGTTTTTTTTTTTTATTTAATGGCAGAAAATAGAAATGATAAAAAATAACAAGTTTGAAATCAACACTTTTTAATCAAAAATAGTCAAAATTTATGATGAAATTAAAATTATGATGTGTGCATTTTTTGATTTTGAATTTCACTTTCAATAAACAAAAAAATGGTTTGGAGTTGTGGCTGAAAATCAGCTATCGTCCACTCGATGTGGTTTATGAAAAACATTTAGTAGTAAATTCTTAAGATTAACGCTAGCGTATAAAAAATATAGATAGATTACACACTGTTCCATAAAACGTGTTCTCACAATAAGAAAAGGAAAATACTCTCAAAGAACGTTCTAACTTGTGAAAATGATGTTTTAGCTAAAAACCATTTCTCTAAATCAGTGAAGCTATTCATATACGAACAAAAAAAAAACAGTGAAGCTACTAAACGTCGTGGCCATGAAAGCAAAGGCTCAAAGCAGTGGCAGTAAAACTAATAAATAAGCGACCGAATTAAAGTATGCTAAAGCAGGCATTTATTAATATTCTGATCGGTGTGGGAATGTGTATGTGTGTGTGTGTGCTGTATATACTCTTTATATCGTTGAAAACGATCGAACAAAGCGAAAATCCATAAAAATTGATGGTAATGAGTGTTTAAATATGAATGAGTTGATCACGGACCAATAATGCAGCATGGCCCTGGCATTGTAAATGCATTGCATTCGATCGAGTTTTTTCGGTCTTTTTCCTTTGCTTTGCTGCATCATTATATGCACAATACAGTAACCGCATAAATCTAATTCAAAATAGAGAGGCGATAGAGCGAGAGAGAGAGAGAGATGAGGAAAAAAGGCAATAAAAAGGGCTTTCAATATGTTTAGAGACGGAAGAAGATTGTGCAAGATTGTCGCTATGTATCGGGTAAAAACTATGTTGCCACTATGTATCGGTGAAATAAAATTGTTAGCAGTATCGTTACACTTGGATCAATGGTGTTTATGCACATTTTTGTTGTTGCTATTTTCATTCGTTACACAATTTTTATCCGTCCAATTGTGCTTGCAAAATTTTCGCCTCCATTCGGTTTGTTGTTATTATTATAGGTCAAGCTCAAGTCGCTGACCTTTCTCAGTTTGGATGTTGTCACCAAAGTTGTGTTGTTGCATCGTTGTTCTTTTTTGTTTGTTTTCTTTTGCTTTTTCGGTTCTACAGGTATAGACTGCGGACCAACATTATTATTATTATTATTTGTATGCTGTTCGCAAGTATGTTGCGCTTGTCTCTAAGTTTAACAAACCAAAAAAAAGAAGAAGAATAGAAGATCGCGATCATATAGCATATACATACATTCATCGACTTCATAGGTGTTAGCACAGTAAACACACAACGTGACTGGACAAAGAGGAAATATAATACGAGCAAATGCACAGAAAATCGCTATCAATCAGAAAAAAGATTAAAGACCACTGCAATAATTGAAGTATTATATGTTGGGTATCGCTTTCACAAAAGACAATATCAATGTCCATAACATACACACATACACTGTTGGAGAGAAATATGGTCATATGGCGTCCTATGAAATCTAGCGGTTCATGCACTCTGTACCATTAATCAAAACAATGGGTTGTTGTCAATTTGTTTCGATTGTGCGTGCTTCGCCAACGAAACATGTATGCATTGAAAATGTATTTGTGAATGAGAATGTTATACTTAGATCATATTTCACGCAAAGCTTGACGATCACTGACGATAATATTCTGTAACATTCTAAAGTGCATATGGAACATCGCTTAAATTTAAACATAGATTTAAACTACACAGATTGTATATTCAACTTGACGTTGATTGATATTATTCGAAATGGTTTTCAGTTTTTTGTTTATCCATTTTTCCTCATTTGTTAAAATAACTAGAAACATTTCCGATATTTTACACAAATTTTTCAATTTATTTTGCAAAATACATTTTACGTTTAATTAAAGGCAAATATTACAAAAACGAGTCTTATAACAAAAATATTGCAGTCTCTAAAGAACCATATCTATTGAATATATCGAGAAGAGAGTATGTTTTTATTCAGACATTACTCAGCCATAAGCGCTGAATAACATACTCTCTTCTCGATATATTCAATAGATATATGATAGGATTTCTACGAGAAAAAAAAAACACGGTAATTTTTTTCGAATTCTAATTGAAAAACTATCATATAAAAAAAACTGGAGTCGTGCAAAGCTCTGAATTGAGTGTTTTGCATGAATAAGTAATTTAGCAGACGATTCCACAAATACACCGATTAGAAGCGAATGTTTGTCATTTAACGTTAGGTAATCGTCATTCTTTTTAAATTGAAAATAATTCAAGTAAATAGCCACATTTAAGAAAGAATAGAAGAATACGTGTTTCATTGTTGACCCAATTCTGTATTTGATTTGCACAAAGGAAAATATTTGAATATTCATGAAATGTCACGTACGCGGGATAACGAACTCGCTACATACATCACTTAATGCTATAACGGTGTATTTCATTTCATTGTGGTTTAAAGGTTTTCTTTTTTTGGAATGTTGAATGTGCGTGGCTATTCTCCGTCTATGCGAAATGGGAAAATTTATTGGATTTTCTTGTTTCCTCTTTTTTTACGAAAAATTTACAATTCAAATTTCCGTTTTCGTTGTGTGCACGTAAAAGAGTAACAAAATCTATGTAATATTCGAATGGCTATACAAAGGAACGCCACAAACGCAAAATCCATATATCACATTTCCAAATATGCGGTTAAAGCAGATTAACAACCACCGAAATACAATATAAGCACCAAAACAGCCAATTCCAAAGTAAATATGCGAATTGCGCGCAAATCAGTACGAAACCCTTCGTAAACTTAAGTGTCAAATAACAAAGAAAATTTACTAACGAGCAACACATAATTAATTCTGACCCAGTTGCATACCTGATCGCTACATAAAGATACACATATATTCCCTATCCAAATCACGACACAAATGTATAACGTTATATCACTGCATTTCTTTTTTTTTCGAATCATAGAAAACCAAATAAAATCTAGAAACTCATGAGTGAAGAGGGAATGAGACAAAAATAAAAAAAATAATAAAATAAAATTAACGTGAAAGAGTAGCAATAACGAAAACTAATAAAGAGGGAGACAAATGTATGGCGTTTTCGTGGCAAATTTGAATTGAGTCCATAATTTTCGTTGATCGTTATCATATTTTCGACGATTTTAATTAAAGACGCTTTTTGGTGTGCCAGCACCATTTGAAGTGCACGAGAATTTACTACGATTGTTTTTTTCTTTTTTTTCCTCAGGTGAAATATTTTTGCTGAAGCCAATCGACGAAATATCAGCCATTACGCATGTTGGAGACCCAGTGCTGCTTACCGTTATTGCCGAAGAGGTGAAAACTTCGCGTGACGAACCACCAGCCATGGCAACAACCGTTCAATTAGCATTACTCCTTCCAGAACGTGTCAATTCACCGCCATATTTTGAAAACGATCAGTAGGTTCAACTAATCATTGAAATGAAAAGTGTTTGTTTTTTATTGGGAAAATTTGATAATGAAATTGTTTATTATATTGCAGTTACGTTGCGCGAATTGATGAGAATGCCCTTCAAGGTACAGCCTTAATATTCAGCGAACCGTATATTCCGCATGTTTACGATGATGATACCGGTAAAAATGGTGTCTTCTCATTGACACTACTCGGAAATAATGGAACTTTTGAAATATCGCCAAATGTTGCAGAGCGTCGTGCCAATTTTCTTATTTACGTTCGTGATAATCATCTTCTGGATTATGAAATGAGACACTCGGTTCAATTTCAAGTAAAAAAAAAACATGTTTTCGTATATATACCGAACACATTTTTAACATGTTTTTTTTTTATTTTTAAAAAGATTTTAGCTCAAGAGCTCGGTCCAGCCACTAATTTATCGAGTGTGGTTAATGTCATTGCATATATTAACGATTTGAATGATAATCCTCCGGTATTCGAGCGTGACATATATATCGCAGAGATACCCGAGAATATTACAGCTGGTCGACGAGTTACAGAGGTTTGTAAGCAAATAAGTGCCAATTGATATTGTATGCATTGAATTTTTTTCTCAATCGGAAATTATTTAGGTGCATGCTACTGACATAGATACAGTTGCCGGTGGTCGAATACGATACACTCAAATATTCGGCTATTTGAATACATCGCTGAATCTTAATTCGGACAATGGAATGATCATTATTTCAACTGACAATCATGGATTCGATCGGGAAATGATGCCCGAATATCATTTATATGTGGAAGCGCGTGATAATGATGGCACCGGCAACAGTGCTCAAGTTCCATTAATTTTGAAAATTATCGATGTGAACGATAATGCGCCGATTTTCGAAAAGCCCATTTATGAATTTATTCTGTCATCAAATCTACGGAATTTCACAATACCAGCATATGTGAAAGCAATTGATGCCGATGCCGAACAACCAAATAATGTGGTTCGCTATGAAATTATAAGCGGAAATTATGAAAATAAATTTCGACTGGACAAACATACAGGTAATGTGGTGGTGATGGTGTTGGTGGTGGTGATAGTTGTGTATACGCAAGCACAATGCCATCGAATATATACCTGATACGTAAAGATATTTGATTGTTGTGCATGCACTACATGAACAAGCCAAATAAACCGATTTGAATGAATCATTTCCGTTTGTCCTCTTCTTCTTCTTCTTTTTTAATTCAGTTTGGAAATTTTATTTGGTTGTGTTTTGTTCATTTTCAGGTCAGTTAATGCTGGTCTCACCGCTTGTGATTGATCGACAAAAGTCACCTGCGAATCGTTTATCACGCGATACAGATGTTTACACGCTGACAATACGCGCATACGATTTAGGTGTGCCGGTTATGTTTTCAACAATAAATGTTCGCATTTATCCGCCCGAAAGTAAAACGCGAAGCGTTACATTTGTATTGCCCGGTCACAATATAGACCGTAAAAAGACTGAAGATATATTATCAACAATTACCGGTGGCCGTGTGATTATTCACGACATACAACCATATAATGACGATCAATTGAATGAAGGGGCTGTTGATGACACCGACGGCAGCAACATTAAAATTGTCGATGGTGCAAATAACAAAAAAGATCTGTACGTGTATAATGACAATTGATTTTAATTGAACTCTCAAAATTATGCAAATCAATTTTTCGACACTTTTGGCTTTTCGTTTGTTTCTTATAGAAGTGTAGTCACCGCAACCGTTCTGTATGACAGTAATTCAGTTGTTGATATTTCGCAAATACAAAAAAGATTATCACTAAACAATTCAACGTCTGGCATTTCAATTCGAGACAACAACGATGCTGAGGTTAGAAGAAACACAAAAATATTTATTTAAACGTAATTTTCTATCGAAATCATGAGAATAAATGTGTATATTTGATATTTTAGAATGTTTATAAGGCTGAAAATAGAGTTCTGTTTTGGATACTCATTTGCTTTGCCATTTTAATTGCTCTGGCAATTTTAACGTTATTATTGTGCTGTGCGTGCCCATGGTGTCCATTGTACAATGCAACTCGGTAAGTTTAGTAATTAAATCTTTTTCTGATCGATTTGAAATTATGATTTTATTGAGTTTAACGCATGTCACACTTTTCGTAAATTTATTTAATGACAAATCATGAGTTATACTTTGTTTTCTTCAACGAAGAACTGTAGTTTTATTAATATAAATGACTAACCATACCAAGTAATTTAGTGCCATGTTTGCGATTATTTTCCTTTTTCCATTTGATTTTGTTGATATGCATAATAACCATTGACTAATCACAAATTTAAGATAGAATGATGCACAATTAGAAGCACATAAATTTCACCAATTCAATTCACGAAGAAGAACGATTTTATTTTAAAATCCTTTTAATAAATTTAATTATATATTGTTTGTTGCACGTAAAATTGGTTGATTGAAACAAAATAATAATAATAAACTAAAAATTCATGCCACATCCCCCACTGTGTATGCCTTTCTCTTCGATTTATTGAAATTGTTTTTCTTTTATTTATTTCCTTGTAGAAAAAATGTGATTAGGGATCGTAGTACTGAAGACGATGTTCATCTAGTTCATAGAGAGTTGGACGTAGGCAAACAAACAAATAAATCTGTTCAGGTAGAACATAGTTAGATTAAAATTAATGATTCAAATGTGATTTGCATTCACACATTTTTTTTTTCTCTCGTCGATTTTACTCTTCAAACATTAACTTAATCAATCAGTTTCTTTTTTTAATTATTATTATTTATCAACATTGCTGTTGCCAATGAATTGTATATAAAATCAATACTTATATTCAAAACTAACAAAATTGAAAATATAAAACCAGTGTGAATATATTTTATAAAATTTGTCGAATGCAAAAATTATTTAATTAATTTAGATAAACACTAAATTTTCTCATTTCGTTTCGATCAATTATCTTGATTGAAAAACTAAATGCTTTTATTGCTCAAAGCTCCTTAATAAAATTGAAAATAAAACTACTGCTTGTATAGATTATAATTGAGGTTTGAATGTTTGTGAATTTTGTATCAGGTGGCGGAATGGATGGGACGACGAGAAGCGTGGTCAGCAGAGAAATCATCGGACTCACGGACAAAACCAACGCACTGGGAGTACGCCCGTCGGCGAGACGAACATCGCGAAAATATAGAAGCGGACAGTATACATGGCACTAGTGCTAAACATGTACGCTCAGACGATGACAAACGAACAGTGAAAATTAAGTAAGTGTAATCACAAGCATAAGAAAGAATACATTTCAAACTGAGCTTCACACATTTTGCACGTTCAATAAACTTTATTTCATTTTGTTTTCGGTTTCGATAGAAATAATTTTAAAGAGGTGAGAGCAGCCAAAGAAACTCAATTCCATAGTTCCCGTACTAATTTAATAAGTGAACGAGAAGGATATGCGGACGATACGGATTTAGAATTTGAACAAAGAAAGAGCAAGCATATTGACGACATGGATTCGATGCGACGTCATGAAATCGATCGAGGCAGTGATGTTGGCTACGAAACACGTTCCAGCCCAAAACGACAAGATGACGAACCAACGAATAATCGTGATCAGTATTTCATAAAAGAGGGCAATGCCGAAATTTTGCGATTGATAACACGCGGTAAAAATGATGATGAAAATATTTACGTGAATATTCCACCACAACAGCCTCAATACATAATGGTCGAAAATGGTGGCAAAGATATTCTCATGAAACGTTTCATTGACGAACAAGTCAATGGCAAACATATAATTCGTGAGCATTATCAAATTGTGCCAACAATGCAAACACAAAAAATTGGCGACGATATGCAAATGGCTCAACATGTCAGCGAAATTTATGTGAACAAATCACAACCGGGCAGCATGATTTATTCACAAACCGATCAACAGCCAGAACAAAAAATTATACACACAAATTCGGCTCAAACGGCACCGAATTTAAGTGTGCCAGAAGCACAGCTACAACATGCATATTCGAATCAATCGTTGATTCAACAAGAATTGGAAAATTCGTTAAAACAACAAAATGCATTGTTGCGTCAAATTTTATTAGAAAAAGAGAAATTACAAGAGAAATATAGTCAACAAGAGATTGCACTTGAAACTCAAAGCCTGCCGGGACATTCAACGGCAATTGCAACACAAACCGATTGCGATGCGGGCACACAAACTGATTTCGTATCAATGAAACCGACACGAAGACGTGCACGCAGTGAAAACGATGACTCAATGTCCGAAAATGAATTTGAGTATATTCGTTATAGTCCACCAAATAGTCCCGAAGGTGTCTATTGGATAAAACGAAAGAAGCATAAAAAGAAAACCAGATATCGAATGTCAAATAAACCACGAAAACGTGTGGTTATGGTTGAAGAAATTAAGCGAAAAATTCGCACGCCAATCAAAGAAGAGAGCGAAGAATTCGTTGGCCAATCACCGCCACGAACCTATTTTGAGACAAAGACCAGCATTTTACGTCGATTAAAAAACGAAAAATCACCCCATAAACATGGACACAAACAAAAAAGTGGACAATCGGCCGGTCTAAAAAAGGACGTTCTGATGGAAATATCGGATTCATTTGATGAATTTCATCCGGAATACAATATGAATAGTTCGGAAAGACGTAAACAATTTCAAAAGGATCATTCGAAACGTATTGAATATTATGAGGACAGCGATGAAGCGAATTTAGAATCGGATAGTGAAATTGTCATACGACGAAATAACTATTCAGCTGACAGTCTCGAAGAATATTCGGATATTGAAGAAATGAGTAGACAGGAAAAACAACGAAACTATCGAAATGTAATATTTTCACGACAAGGCTCTTCAACGGAGGCCAAGGAAGCAGCTGGCTATTATGATTCGGATGGAAGACGATACATTCATAGTGTCGCATCAACGCCAGCCTCAAAACGAACGTCACGCAAAGAGACCGAAACTGATCAGGATCGAGAAACGCGTCATCGTCAAACCACATCCGAGCCACCGTATCGTCCAACAAAAACTAAAACACCAAAACCATTACAACATCGTCATGCCCGTCGTGTGGTTGCACAAAGTGAAGCCGATTTAATAAATTGCATGCGAGACGATGGATTCGAAGTTTCGAAACATGTGACATCAGCGCCTCGATACATGGAATGGTATTACAATAAATCAAAAGAAAGTGACTTGGAAAAAAAGCGATTAGACGATTACCGAAATGAAAAGGAAAAGAGTAAAGTTGGAAATAAAAAAATGGTGGGCGGCATTGAGAAGCGCATTAAATCAAAACGTTCTAATGAAACGACCACAAAACCAGATCCAATGCCACGAACAGCGGCACCACCACCAAAAGGCGCTAGAATGTTAAAGGAAGATGTGAAGAAAAATAAATCGTTTGCCCAAAAATCTCAAATCGATACCAATCATCCGCTGTTACAATACTCGGAGCATCGTTATGAACATGAGTATCACGGTGCACCCGACATACCTGTACCACCTACAAAACTTCCGCATTATATGTATCCGGAAACGCCGCCATTGGCAAGCATTGAAAGTAGCAGAAAGAGCAAGATTCAAGATAAAGCCAAACCGAAACCATCACCAATACACGAACATGAAGTAAAAGAGCATTCATCACGTCATTCATCTCAAAGTGAAATCAATTCAAATCAAAATGCTTCAAAGCAATTGAATGCATCAACATTGGAAGATGATCATGATTCGGGCATTGCAATGAATTCATTACTGCATAGCTTGGGCAAACGGAATCCCATCGCTGATAAAAAGAGTGTCTTCACCATTGCCTATGACGAAGCAAAAATCAGTAAAATTCAATCAGAAAGTGATTCACCACAAGTATCTTGAATTTTTTATAATTTTACATTCGCTCACTTGACATGAAATACAGATCATAACAAAGCTGCCCACGAACAGTTCAACCAACGAACGACAAATAAAATAAAATTTATACGAACGACCGATTATAGTCAATCGTTGACGTTCGTGCCCAGCTCTTGATCATACACATACATAATATCTCAGTGCATGCATAAATGAAAGCTATTTTTTTAAATTAAATTAACTCGTGGACCGCCGGATGATATTAATTATACGCAAAGCGTTCCATTATATATTTATGTAAATAAATTGTTTGAAATATCCAGAAACTGCCATAAATTTAACCAATTTAAATTTTTTTTTTTTTCAAAATTAGATAACGAAATGTATTTAGGCAAAGCATCGGATAAACGATGTTGGATCTAAGATTTTTATTTTTATTTTCTAATTAGTAATATTTTATCAGAAATCCAGGTTAAATACAATCAGTTCTTCAATTGGCCGCAAAATTAAAATGTTACATAGAAATGTGGCCTTCTAGCATTCGTCCAGAGCAACGGTTAATATGCTGAATAAAAATTTAAAAAGATAAACATTATATTGTAAATAAATTGATGTTACTACAATGAATTTAATTTAGGAGAAAAATATTTAGAAATAAATTTAAAAAAAAAATCGAAACTATATGAATAGATTGTTTTATTCTGTTGAATGTATGTAGATAGGGCAGGTATTGGTGGGCAAGTACAAAAATTAAGCTCGTCGAAAATCTTGGAAAATCATTTCGCGTGTCTTCGGTGAAGTTCATGACTTTTTTTCCTTAAAAAAATGGACATTTGAACGTAAGTTAGGATCATTTCACATTATTTTTGAAATAATTTTCTTCAGCAATTTAATAGATTTCTATTCCCTTGCTTTTACTCCAGGTCTTTACAACGATTAAAATTATTAATTAAGCAGCTGCAAATATTGGGATTTAAAATATAAAATTTAGAACAGATAAAGAAAAAATCATTGTTTTGAAGTGGTACTTTCACCCCAAATTTATCTTACCTCGCCGATTTAATCTATGAAATATTTCAATTAAATCCTCTGACTAGTAAGCCGTCCAAAAAATACAACCCATGGTATTTTTTCAAAATGCTATTTCAGTTTTTCAAATATACGCTTAAACTGTCGCTTATCGAATTTGGACTCGCCTCATTAAAAAGATGAAGATAAAACAAAGCACAAATTTATTTCGTATAGTTTATTTATGCTGCTGAAGCAGTCGCTAAAACGTATTTGATTCAAAAAAAGAGGAACAAGTGATAGGCTCTGTGTGTGGGAGGGGGTAAAGTTCAGTTGGGATCTTTCCCAAATACATTCCGTTAAAATTGTACAAAGTCGAAAATAGTTTTTTGCAAACATTTTTACATAGTCAATTGCACGATTACAAATATTCGCTAATATAAATTTAATGTATATACAATTTTTTTTTTATTTTTGAGATACGGATTCAGTCAAAATAATGCATAAGATTTTCAAATTGGTACTTGCAGTAGATAAAAGTATACGTAGTAATTGTTTGGATAAGCTTTCGGGACATCAATAGTATCGCATCAAATAGAAATATGTTGTATTTAAAATCGGTAATCTCATCGGTAAATTTGCTTGTATGTTGATGAGTGTGATGTGATGTAAGAGATACGCGCTATGCTTTTGGTGACGGTGTTCGATCAATAAAATCAATGGTGTCACAATCAATCGCGGTTGGTGCTTGAATGCTTTTCGTAATTGTTTCGTCGGTTATTTGTTGTACCACTGCTTTGATTGATTTAGCCGAAATCAATCGATTTTGTCCGTTTTGAATGTTATCCTCGTGTGGTTGCATTTGTTCATTGGTCGCTTCTTTAATGCTACATAAATTCTTAACTTCTGAATTGGCCATTAATGCATTTAATTCATCTTGCCATTCTTTTTCTTTCAATTCCATCGCCTTTCGTTCAAGTTCTTTACAACGATTATAAACTATAAATTCTTTAATAAAATTACTTTCGGCATTACTGCTTTCGGCCGAATCTCTTTGTGCTGATCTTTGTTTGGCTAAACGTTTATTTTTCTTATGCAATGGTTTTGTTTCTACTATCATTTCTTCCAGCTCCAAGCTTGGATCACAGTTCAAATGATCAGTTGGTGGTTTAAATGGTGGCGTTATATCCTTTTTTAAAATCTGTTGATAGTCCAAGTTACGTAATAATGGTGTATGTGACAATTCCATTTGCGAACTAATTCGATCATCTGGATTCACATTCAGTAGCTAAAAATATAAGATAAATTGAATTTTAATTAAAAATATTTCGCATAAATAGATTTTTTACGTACTTTTCGTATGAGTTCAATGAAATTTGTGCTCCATTGTCTTGGAAATAATGGCTCTGTAAACAAAATATCTCTGACTTCATCTATTGGTGTGGTTGAGTGAATAACAAAGGGTCGGCTACCAGCACGCATTTCATATGCAACTATTCCAAGCGACCACCAATCAACCGGATACGAGTAGCCAGCTATGAATGTTTGAATGCGAAACATCGAAACCTCATTAAATAATATAACAGTGTCAAGAAATAAACGATTTTGGCATTTAACTAGATTTTCTTATTAAATTGTCTTAACAGATAATTGAATGTTTGACTCCAATATTAAATTGTATGAACGCATGAACCGTGTCATTTAAAATCGTCACAATTATGTTAAATAATTCTAATTGCTGAATATTATATCGAAATTTAATTATAGATTGTTAACGATGCTATTTACTTACCCATTTCATCCAAGGCTACCATAAAAATTTCCGGCGCAATGTACTATAAAATTGATGAAATAAAGCAAATAGATTCAAAATGAACAGAAATCGGCATAAACATGTGAAATCAAAGTGGTTTTTCGCTTTTCAAACAATTGAAACCCATAACCATATTTTGTCGACCGAGTTTTCTGTCCTTTTTTTGTTCACAATATTAAACAAACACCTTACGGTCACAGTCCCAGTTATGGTTATTTTCTATTTACAAAAATGTCACAACCACAAGCAAAATGTGAATTAGATAGGAAAACAATGGTAAATGAGACTGACAGACAGGTTCGTATGTAAAACAAAGGAAAATTAAATGATTGTTGGCACCCCAACACATTCTGCTTATGGTTAAAATCAAATTTTGTATTCAGATAACATATGCCATTGAGACTGGTTTTTCCATGTGAGTAGCTTATGTCTGCTATTGTCAATTATTTTAACTTCAATATAAGGGTTGCGTATTTGCTCTACAATTTCCAATGTACATTTCATCCAACTTACCGGTTTTGTCCCAGACATACTGCAAGCGAATCCATCACTTTGTAAACGAGTTGCTATATTGAAATCTGTTAGATGAGCGTGACCTAAATAACAGAAAATACAGAATTTGAAAATATTTCAATATTGAATCATTACATCATAAAATGTATATCCGTTCGTCTACTGTCAATTTGCTGTAGTCGTGCACATAACATCTCAATAGGCGCTACGTATATATTAATATTTACATTTGATGATTTCGATGTCTTTTCGACGCGACTGCTTTTTTCGTGTACTTTTGTGAAAAATTATGGGGACCGCAAAAGAAAATGTTCCACTGAAATTCGTTGATGATTCTCATGAATTTCAAACTCAAAACAAAAACAAAATACACGCAATATACGGTTTTGCCTCGCACACCGAGTAAAGTTTTCTGTCGCCAAATTAAATCGAACTGGTCTTTAGCCAACAGAAAAATACACAGTACATTGAACATGAATTGTACTTGAAGTGAATCAGAATAATAATATTTCTTTTAGCCTCAAGCTATTTAGATGTGAGAATAAGATATTACGGACGGTCGAATGATCTGATATATTCATCTATGTTGTGACCACGGACCACATTAAAATCTATGTAGATGAATATGTGCCTATGCTCGTTGACTTTGATGATACTTACCTTCCTCATCCAATAAAATGTTATCTGGCTTTAAATCCCTAAAATAAAGATGGAATTCAAAAGAATAATAAAATATGATTCACATTAACATTATCTTGATGATAAATTAGATGGTTTTTTCTTCTTGGCATCGTTAAAAGTTACCTGTGAATAACACGTTGATGTCGTAAATATTCGAGCGCTGAACCAAGTTCGCACACCAATAGCGATACGCTTTTTTCACAAAATTCCACCTATAGCAATCGAAAATGGATTTAATACGAATATGAATCGGTAGGGGCTGAAGTAAATTTCATTAAAATTCTTTTGATTTTTGCATTAATGTCGATTATTTATGTTCTTAATGAACGCAATACATAAAATATTGATACCACGCATTCAAACCGTTAATGTGTTGTTTCAATTATTCGAACTTAATTAAAATCGATGTTCGTGTATAAAACAGACAATATGTTGAGCTGAATATTCATTTGAAATGAGACGAAATGGCACTCAAATACAGACATCTAAAATACCAAAATAGAACTCTATTTTTGAGTTCACGAGTTCACATGCTGAGGATACAATTTTTTGTTGTCACAAAATCAAAATGTACCAAATAGCGTGCTATTTCGTCTCATTTCAAATGAATAGTCAGCTCAATATATTTTCTGGTAAAAATTCACAGCGCAAAATGCGTCAAAATGTGGGTGTCATACATATGTTCGCATATAATTTGCGATGAAAAAAAAAAAATAAATTAAATTCCACCATTTTTGTCGACTTAATAATGTGAAAGATAAGAACGTGCCGAAAATTTCTGCATATTCATTTGATGAAAATAATACGTATGCCACGTGGCATGTGTGGATCATCATGGATGGAAAATCCTTTATTTCGAGGCGATGGTAATACATATTCCATACTCTCTTTCTCTCTATTCAACGTTAATTTCACATAAATGTGGTAAATTGTAACTTGGAATACAGTATTATTCAATAAAGGTGAAATGAAGTTCGTTGAATTTTCTTTACAGCCAATAAATTTTGAGTGTTAAATAAATCGTGCAAAAAAGAGTACATATATACTTGATTCATTAAATCTGATTTACTTTCATAAAATTTTCTTTACAGAACTTTTTGACATTGGTAAGAAGTTTTAAGAAACCCATATATGGATAAACTATGTTCCAACTATTTATATGATTTTAATAGAATAATCAAAGTTGAATAAAAAGGAAAGAGATAACTATGTATCAGAAGACTTTGTAATTTACGAGGTAGAAAATAGTCGCATTTAAATGCTTTTCAATTTGATTGTATTTGTACGTGAAGATTAGGGTGCATCGATTTTTTATTTTTGAAAATGTAAAAAACCCTTAGTGCGGCTTTTGTAGGCCTGATCCAGAGTCACAACTTTTGTTCTGGCACTTTGGCTGACACCCTCCTAATTTTCACCCCGCTCGATTTAAGGTTCGGAATTTTTCGAATGAATTTTTTTAAATAAATTTGTATGAAAGTGAATTGGTTTTAGTATTTTTGTAGATAGTATCAAATAAAAAACCTCTGACGAGGTGAAAAGCGAGTGACGAAACCAAAATGTGAAACACAAAACTGATATTAATTTTGTGACGAAAATAAATTATAGATAATTTTTCTGTGTACTGTGAATAAAAACTTAATATACATTTGAACATTCAAAACGTTGCAGAAATTCCTCTCTTTTTACTGTCAGTATGGACTGATGACGCAATACAACGTTCCAAATATACAACTAACTTAACTAGTAATTATGATGTACCTAAAGCGCGACGATGACAAGCAACTTTGACAGAAGCGCCATGGTGCGGTTGCCAGCGAAACTAAAAATTGCACAAATTTCGATCGCCCGAATCAAAAATGGTAGAAATTTGTGCCACCTAACATAAACAGTGATAACCATAATGAAGTTGCTGCGTTGCCCAGCTGTCATTGTCGTCGTGCTTTGCCTTTAGCAGTCTATATATTTCGGATGGATATCCATCCGAGATATTTTAGAATATCTGGATATTCAACGCAACTGCACAGCGCTAGAACTGTGTGCGTCTCAAATAGAATCTACGGTATGTCGCGACGTATATGTGTATCAAGTCCCGCACGTACACAGTCACACTGTGTCTGTATTTTTCGTGTAGATACCGTAGATTATACAGGGTGTCTCACGAAATAGGGCCATAGATTCTGACGCGGGTCCATAGGGCCCATATTAGCCCCCCTGAAAAGCGGCTCAAAAATTACCCCCTTGATTTTTAAAAAATCACCAATTACCCCCTTGATATATTTAATCAATTTGAATATAAACACTTAAGCTAAAGTGCTATTTCTCTGGCCGAAACAATCGAAAAATAAATCGAACGAAACATACAAAAATATTTGCTTCATAAATTGTCAGATCAGCAATTTTCGATCTGTTTTTTGCGATTTTTTCTTTCAAAATATTTATTTTTGCTGTTTTCAGAGATTTTTTTCAGAGATTTAAACGAAAAAATATCTCAACCAAACTCAAATCTGATTAATTCGGATCTTTTTCAATTGCATTGAAATGGCTCAAATCAAGATGATGGTTTTATCAAAAATCATTCAAATTTTTTTTGTAATCTCCAAATCCTTAAGAATTTGGAAATTCCTATGAAAAATATATATTTTTGAATCTTAATTTCCGCACTTTTATGTATTGGTAAGTTGTTTTTGTGGAACTCTCATGGCCTGGAAATGCCTATGTAATTTACATATAAACGAGTGAGACTCAAACATGTTCTTCTTTTTCCATCAAATATACCAGTGGCGCCACCAATTTTACATATAAGCGCATACAAAATTTTCAATATGGCTGCGCCCATGAGAGAGAAAATTTCGTCTCATTCATTTCCGCCCCATGGGAACTTCAATTCCAAAGCCGCGCGCGCGTGAATAAGAGTGAAACAAAGGCGAGGTAATTATGAGATTTCCAGTTTTTATAAATACGTACCTGTTGCATCAAATGATAACGTAAGTCACCACCCGTTAATAAATCGCATACCATAAATAAGTCCTCTTCATCTATTCAAATAAAAACATTCTTTAAGTTTTCTTTTGTGAATAAACTTTAAATGTTCAAATGAAACGAGAAAAAAAATCGTGTATACGGCAAGAAAATGAAAATCATTTTATAAAATTAAATTGCAATATTGCAATGCAATATGCAGCGTATATAGTACACAGAGAGAAAAAATGTGGTATTCTTAATTCAATTTTGGTAGATTTAATATAAAATCAACCAACAACGAATTAAATTTACCATTTTTGACATCTCTGAGGCATATTTTTCAAAAGAGACTATCAGTTGAATAAGTTTTACCACTTCCTTCATTAGATTCACCAAATTCATGCGCTAGTGTCATCTGTGGTTTCGAAAAGTTGGTAAATGTAATGAAGCAGAAAAATATGCCTCAGAGATGTAAATTCAATTCGTTGTTGGTTGATTTTATATTATATCTACCAAACTTGAATTGAAAATACCACATTTTTTCTTTCTGTTTATTTGTACTTGTTCACATTGTTTAATATAGATACATAAGCAAGAGTGAAATCAATTAAATTAATGATGTTTCAAATATGAAACTTTGTAGAAAAGCCTTTACCTTGAAATGAAAACCATAAATTGACTAGGAAAGGATGTTCGAGCGACGATAGTAATTCAACTTCTTTAATTACACCACCTAAAGCACCTTTGCCATCTAAAACACCACGACTCACATATTTCATGGCGAATAATCGACCGCTATCCCGTTTCTGCACAATGCACACCTATATATGTAGATGAGTAAATAAACATCGACCCGAAGACAACGTTGAAAACAACATCGACGTGCAAATGTTAAAAGAGAGAGAGAGAGAAAAAAAGAAGAAAATTGTACTTAATAGATGGAGAGTGGCGAATATAGTTTGTAGTTAATGGGGATGTAGAGTTGAATTTTATGAAACGTGTAAACAAGTTTTTTGGTTACAAAAACCTTCGAAAGAATCCCATGGAAATATAAATATGAGCACAAAATCAAAATTTATGAAAGAACCAACGAAGCATACCAAATTCTTTACATAGACTTTATTGTATAGCAGTTTGGTCGTTCCTTCTGTCTCTTGAAACTCATTAAACTATTTATTTTGTATTTATCATTTGATTTTCTTCACTCATATTTATAACGGTGCACTTGTTTACAGCGATGCTGGGTGTTTGACAAATTGTGTTTCTGTAAATTACAATTCAATTTATGCTTGAATCTTAAAGACAGTCCTCAATTTTTTTTAAAAATAACATGAAATAATTTTCAGATTTCAAATTGCCAAGCAATGACTGTCATCTGTTTTTTTATAAATGGATTTTATTTTTAACCAAATTATAAAAACTAGACAAGATTTTATTCTCTAAAAGACGTGGTAAAAGAGAAAAGTTTAAATAAATTTCAGTATAAAATTAATTTGAAATCAGTAAATTAGATTTTGCTTTCGTGTATTTCGGAAGAAATTTGAAGGATAGCTGTTAGATTCAAAACCAAAAAAAAAAAAATGATTCAGTTGCATTTTCACTCTAGATTTATTTACTCCTTTTCTATCATTAATTTAAGCCTTGAATATTCTCAATAGTTTATTCCACCCAAATAACAATGAGCATAACATTCCATCCACACCGATGAAAAAAAACTTACCTTACCGAAACTACCTTTCCCAATAGCCCTCAATATTTGAAATGAATCGAAATTCACTGGAAATAACAAGAAAACACAAAAATATTTATATTTGATTAGTATATTGAACAAAGAACGTGCACATATAATATGACACGCTACACAGACTATCTATACTAATGACATCATGCAATTTGGCATTTTTCTTGTAATTCTTCTAATTTTACAGTTTTTTGTACTTCTATTCTGAGTCCATGGCACAAAAAAATTGTTTATTCCTTGTAATATTTTTTTATTCCATTCTCTTGAAATTTCATGATGTAAATAAATGTGTACATTTGACAGAACCTAATAGGTCCAAATTTTTCATAGTTTTTCTACTTTTTAAATTTATTTGGATTTATATATCTAAAAATCTAATTAAAGGCGATAAAAGTTTCGAATGAGTTTATAACAAATATTTAAAAGTATATTGTTATAGCAACAATAAATTGTCGGATTGGATCCCAACATACTTGACCTTTCTCCTGCATCTTGATGTCAATTATTTTTCTCTCCCTTTTCAGCAGCATCAAATGATTTAATGTTGATCAAATTACAGTCCGAACAATATTCTTGAATAAACCTATCGTTTTTTTTTGGCCGACTCAACGACGACAAAATTGCGTCAGTTGTCGCATTCAGGTTGAATAACTCGATTTTGATCTTTGGATTGAATTTTATAACATGACAATTTAAACTTAAACCTCATAACAACAGCTCCTAAACTCTATGTTCTCAATTTGGCAGAAATTCAAGTGAATTAGTATAGCATATTATTGAATTCCCAGAAGATCCCATACATGTCATATATATGTGTAGTTGAGAATGAAAATGACTCGAGATATCGACACCTTTTGCTCCCGCATACGGGATTTTCTGTGCGTGAGAGAACAGGAGATATACCTTAAGTCATTTTCATTCTCAGCTATCTATTTCTATCCATTTATCTATGGTCGTCATCGTTGAATGCATGCTTTCTACACAACACAATTTTATTTGATGTGTCGGTCTTCATCGTTGAGTGCACATTTTCTACAGAAAATAAGCACACAACCGTCTTTGTCGTTTGACGCATTACATTTTCAATATACTCTAGTATATTGGAGTGTAGGTATAATTACCATTTGCTTCATTTTTCATCCTTCATAATCATATTTCAATATTTTTTTACTAATGAAAATACGTAAATTGTTCAATTTACCACATTTGATAAAAATAATACTTTATCATCTGCAGTGATTTCACAAATACAACCGAACACTAAATGTAAATGAAAGTGTGATGCGCCGTGTGGCGGTCACACTCAGTGTGCTTAAACGAACAGGTGGCAAGTAACTATAAAATATGCACTTCAAAGGCACCGTATAAATGATTCACTTTTATTTATATCCGACTTGCTGCATAATAACATCCATTGCCCATCACTGAAGACTGAAATCGCTCGGAATCAAAATGAACGAAACTTGAACAACGACATATTCTTGAGAATTAATCCATCTGTTCCTATCAATAAAATGTGCAAAATGTCAAATAATGTCCATGTCCACGACTCTTAGCCTTAAGCGACTCTTATCCTTAACATTTTTCTAACTTGTCATTAGTGTCTAATCATAATACTGTTTTCTCAAGCGACCCAATGAGATATATTTTTATACGTTTTTTACTCATTATATTCGAGTTGCAATTTGAACATTAACTATTGGATATTTAACTATTTATTTATATATTTACAATTCTTCCCCGATTACAAATCCTAAAATTAATATAATTAAGTTTCATATCGAAAAGATATGGTTTTTAACGGTGATCAGATGAACTTTTAATCTATGATTCATACCTTTTCTCCACCATGTATAAAATTTAATGAATTCATAACAACAGTTGATAAACCTAAACTAAACTTCCTTAGAAATGATTTAATAATAGCTTTGTTTATGTGCTCAAACTTTGTCATAGTATTACCTTCAAATCAATTTCCGCACACTTGAACAACATGCTTCCGTTATTTACAAGTTATCGTATATATGGTAAAAGCTTTCGTTATTTATTATTGCAAATATACAAATTTAATGAATTTAATCGATATAATCCAACGTTATGAATATACTCTAGCCACTCATGTCCAAATTGTATCGTACGTTTTCCAATTCGCTTCCATCGTGAATCACTTAAGATATTCTATAATTAGGCATATAAATAAATTGCTTTTCCAGTCAATCTACTTTCATAACATTGATTTTCCATGTATCTCTCTCTCTCATCCAGCAACACTTTTCAGTTCGAGTACATCTAATGAATCTAATGTACTTACTTTCTATCGAATGAAAATATTTTTATTTTTTAATAGAAAATTGTTTCAAGTTCGAAAAGGACCGCGAGAAGGAAAAAAACTGGCTATAGTAAGTGTGTCAATAAGAAAAGTTGGAAGAGGCAATACGCATTCAAACACTTCAAATGCGAGTAACGTCAATCAGGCGACGGATGTCTTTATAGATTTTAAAGTCTTTTCAAATGCTTTTGTTGAAGTGCAATATTTATTGACTTACCATCATCGTCTGAGAGTGAAGCGGCACACGTACGCGATGAATTCGCACCCATAGCTCTTTTTAAATCGATTTTTCTGATTATTCCTTTTTCTCCACTCCTCACCCTCTCTCAATCTCTCTTCCTCACACCACTTGCTGGTTTCTGTATTTCAAACTAAGATTGATGTATCTAACGACTGTCGTCTTGAAGCAAAGAGTATTATTGGCTTAGATGTTTTATCCACTCCTTACATGTTGCCTGACAAAAAAAAAGTCCAACATCAAGAAATCTGTGAGAAAATGCTATCAACTGCGTTACGATTGAGTCAATGTTTTAAACATAGCTGTCCACGAACACTAACGAACGAACCGTTCGTTCGTTCGTAGAATATTTTTTGGTCTTTTTGTTCGTTCGTTCGTTCGTAGAAAATAAAATGTTCGGATTGTTCGTTCGTTCGTAATTTATGAAAATTTATTTTCTAAAATAAATAAATATTGTGATACTAAATGTAAATTGGAAAAACCTTAAATCTATTTTTCCCGCTTTTCCGATGAGAAATCGTGAAAATAAGCCAAATTGACTCCCGTAAGAAAGAAAAATTCACTTTTTTTGTGTATTATACCCAGTCTCCGAGAGTTTCATATAAGGTTGCCATGTAACAGCAGAAAGACGGTCGAAAAGACGAAAAAAAATCGGAGACTGGGTATAATACACAAAAAAAGTGAATTTTTCTTTCTTACGGGAGTCAATTTTGCTTATTTTCACGATTTCTCATCGGAAAAGCGGGAAAAATAGATTTAAGGTTTTTCCAATTTACATTTAGTATCACAATATTTATTTATTTTAGAAAATAAATTTTCATAAATTACGAACGAACGAACGTGTTCGTACGAACAACGAACGAACAATCCGAACATTTCATTTTCTACGAACGAACGAACGAACGCAATACAATTCTACGAACGAACGAACGAACGTTCGTTGACAGCTATGGTTTTAAATATAAAGAAAAAAATCGAAAACGGTCACAGTCACTACCAGTTTGATAATTATTTGGCTGAGGGAAGTTCTTCTCAAAACGAAAATTAATAGAACATCGTTTGCATCGAAAGTACAACCATAACAAAAACATATGAAATGGTAATTGAGAAAATTATATGCAGTAATAATGGAAAATAGAGAAGGATAGATGTAAAAAAACACTCATCCACTCGTTACATTCACATCATTTTAAAGGCAAGTATTTGAACAAACTGCTTATATGTTTGACTTTATAAGGAGAAGCGTGATATTTTTATCAATACCATATTGAATATTTATGAAGAGCTCAAACAGAAGTCCAGGGACGTACCGTGAGAATTAATAATCGGAGGGTGTCGAAATTTAGCTTACACATTTTTTGGGGGTATTTTGAATTTGGAGTGTTCTAGAAAATTTGGGGAGCTATGGGGAAAAATATCCAAAAATCACAAAAAATTAAAGTGCTCCAAATTCAATGAAATTCAGCACACAGAATATTTGAAAAATATAAGAATTTTGACATCAAAAATGGTCCAAAATGATAAAAACCCCGTTTTCATCACTATACAAAATTCAGTACCCTCATTACCAATTCTCACTGAACGCCTCTGCAGACGACAATCCACCTTCATAAAATGTGATTTTCAAGTTGCGCTCTCTTTTTTTCCACCATATCGCACACAACAGTGACACACAATTTTAAGCTTGTGAAAATATTGATTCAGTGCGAGACTATAGTGTCTATAGAAGTGATATGAAATCGACAACGATGAGAAATAGACGGGAAGAGAGAGAATAGATTATTCAAGAGCTTGAAACAAGCGAATATAAACCATTTCTTTTGTGAATCTTGCGTTAAAATCAAAAGTTGTGTAAAGTTTTTTGTGCGACATCTATTTGAAAATGCTTTCGGCAATTAGATAGAAAAAGTCAAAGGTCTTATCGCTCGGATCAGCGCGAAAAAAAAACGAGCAGACTTATTTTATGAAATCAGGAAATATGTGTCTCATGATGAAAATAGAATTATAAAAATAAACTGCATGCGATGAAATCACTTTCGGTGGTGCTCTTGAATGATGTTTCAAAAATTCTTTGTAAAATGTGTATAATAAGTGGGTTATTTGCGCTGTTGAGTCTTGATGATTAAAACTATCTCTCTTTTGCTGCGTTCTTGTTAATATGAATTTATCTTTTAACTAAACACGACAACATTTGCTTAAGGCGACAATTTGTCATACATATCGTTTGTTGTCACATTTCTATTTTTTTTTTCATCTCGCACCATCATCCTCCATCATGGTGACACCATCATCATCGTTCTTTTGAGCTTAAAAAACTTTAACATTTGCCCGCACATGTCATCCGACACTTAGGTACTATGTGACAAAACGATTCTCTTTTCTGAAGTACAGAAGCAGTTTCGCAGCAAATAAATAATTCCGTATTTGCTGAGCAGAAGTGTATAGAAACGAGAGAAATAAAATTTATCGAATAGATTTGGGGGCCAGACAATTGTATTTACAAATGGTTGAAGCAATCACATCCAACTCTTTTGGATCAGCGTCATTTCTATCATTGTCATCGTTGTCGTCATCATTGTTGTCGCGTTCAATACATATTCTTATTCTTGGCCATGTGACAAGAGGTACATTTAAATATGAGCAAATTGAAAAAGCAACAAATTTGAGAGGAAGATAAGAATGAAGCGTCAAGACTTAAGAGTCAGAAGAAAAGGACCGATTGATAAATAAATTGAGAGAATGAAAAAACGGCAAGGAAGCAAACATGACGATAATAATAATTTAACAAACGAAATAAAGTGGAGAGCAAACGAAGTAAATGGCAGTAATAATATAAAAGAAACCAAATAAATGGAATCGAAAATGTGGACAAAAGAACATACAAACATACATAAAAAATTCACAAACACACACACACACTCCATATGTGGATTACGTTTTGTGAGTTGATGCGCGTGTGCCCATTCCCCCAAATAAATATTGGAATCAAGTCAACATTTTCTTATATACCCACCAATACAGTTGCAGTTGCAGCAGCGATGATACCACTTTGTTCGCCGAGTGTTAATTGTAGCGAAACTGAAAGCGCCTCGACTACAATGCTTCGGAATAATAGTAACACAAATGAAATTCTAAACAACAAAAACAATAGCACAATACTTTCGGAACTGTGTCTTTTTATGGCTGTCTGCTCACTCTCTCCGAACATTAATTTGCTTTTCTCTCCCTCTCACACACCCACTTTCTTTCTCTCGTTTATAACCGTATGAAATTACGATGTTTTTATTTGTTCATCGCATAAAATCAATAAGTATTCAGCTCTTGCTTTGTTTCTCTTTAAACAATAAACAGAATAATAAATACGCTAGAATGCCTTTGCGTCCGCGTTTTCTATTTATAATAAAGAGCATAACATTTTCAATTTGTTTTTTTATTCGAACGAATTTTCCATTCCACCTTTTTAAAAAAAATACCACTCGTTTGCGCACACCGGGTAATAGAAGAGAGGTGGCTAAGCAACACGTTACCGTTGGACTCTCAATATAATTTGCAACACTTGCTTTGAATAAATATGTTCCTATTAATTGAACAATATTTGTGCGCTCGAGTCTAGGGAGCGGAAAGTGTAAACAATTTCAAGATTTTATACCGAAAAGTTGAATCGGTTTTCCATCATTTTATAATTCAGACTATCTTTTCTCATGTACATACACACACTTTTTCTCTCTCCATTCCTTTATTTGTTTTAATTCTATTTCGTTTTTTTTTTTAGTTTCATTTCATGCACGAGTATTTTGTAATTTCTTAAGATTATTTTTTCTTAAATTTTTTGACCGAACTATTTCTGTAACACATTTCTGTTGCACTAACCACTACTGACAATTATATCTGATAACAATTTTATTGTAAAATGTACACGCCCACAGCAAATGTTTCGATAAAAAGTATTCAAATGACTTTATTCCGGTGACGAAAACATAAACAAAAATAAAACAAACTAAATATTTATTTTTTTTATTATCTGGACAGTTTCAAAACAATGTTTGTATACAGCTGCAGCCGTTGTTTGCTACTTCGTTCGAATACAACGGATGAAAAACAAATTTTTAAATCAAAGTCACTTTGCACCACATTTTCTTTACTTTACGTATTTTTGACACAAAAATACCAAACGATATCGAAAATCGAGACGATGCGATTTAACAGCTTGTTCCAGTTGGCGTCAGCCACGGAGTGAATATGGAAAATCACAAAGAGTTTCCATAAACTGTATGCCTCTTTTCGAAATGTTGTTTTTTGTATCCACAGAGAGTACGGTGCACACATACACAAGCTAGAAACAACCCATAGAACTGCCACACAAAATATACATCGATACACATACACGAACACATCAACGGATCAACGAGAGGGGATGAACGGCCAAAAAGGGAATTTCATTGAGAAACATCTATTCCGGTTTTTGTTTAGATTGACACAACAGTTATTCACACTTAAACTTAAACAACGATACGATATCCAATAAGGTTCACTTGAGTAGTAGCCGACAATAAAAGAAAAAAAAAAAAAGAGAAAAAAGATTAAATGAACAGCAATGAATGGGAAGAGAACATCGAATGGAAATAATATTTCGAAAAGAGAAGGCAAACAACGCAGTTTCATCGATTGTTCCACAGAAAATGAAGAAAGAAATGTAAATCAAAAACAATATCTATACAAATGTGATGATATTGTTTGGCTTTTATTTACGAGTTTCAAATTGACGAGATTTCTATAAAAAAAATGAAATAACGATATTGTTATACGTCCATGGATAGAAATTTGTTTGATAAATACAATTTTCGATGATTGCCTCATGGGATATGCTACTACTATAGTATTTTCCATTCGCGCATAAAGAAAATGTGCACGGATGACGATTTACATCATAAACAAACCGTACTCACTTATCCACTTTTTTTTTAACACATGCCGTTAAAATTTGGTTGCTATCAATCGGTAATCATATGCCGGTGTACAATGTGTTTATGTTAAGTGGAGTTAAATTGTATCCAAATTATGAACAATCAATATCACTTTATTGAACGGGCACTTGCGAAAAACCATATCAGATATTGACGGAAAATCAGATGTAGTGACAAAGACTCAAGGTGCTTCACATAAAATTGGCTAAAATTACAATTGAAAAACATTCAGCAATTTGTTTTTCATTTTTGAAATATTTTATGTCATTTTCGAAAAGGCTCTTAAAGGTTCTTTGCATTCCATTTCATATTCATGAACTTTAATATATATCCATGATAACGATGTCATCAATTGATGACCAACCGATTCAACTGAAATCATTAGACAATAATAAATGATTGACAAATGAAATCTTATCGATAATTCAGTTGCGATGAATCAAATACTATATCTGTCATGCTATACCGATTATACATGATGAAATTGCTAAAGATAAGAATTCGAAGTGTATTGTTATTTAGACCATACTTAAATATTAACGGAGGCAAAAAAAGTACTAATTCTGACGCACGTATCGTTTTTAATTGTGAATTTTTATGAAACGCATTCACCTGACACGTATCTACCGTTTGACATTAGAAATATTTCCACTATCGATTTCATTTTATTTGTGCAATAGATTCAAATGTGAGTGTTAAAAAATCGATTTTTATTTTCTCTTTATTCTGCTTGATATTTGTTTGGTTTGTGTTTATTTTATTGTTTTTTCTTAAAAAAGCGATAATTGCCATTTTAAAAACCTCTGAATATTAAATCTGTTGCACTTGTTAAGTTTCTCATGTTAGAGATATTAATACAATGGTAAATGTTGAATAAATAAATTGAATTTCATTTAGATATTTAATAAATGAAATATTTTGTGGTTTTATCGATCCAATTTTACCTGTGAAAAGAAATTAAATCATAACGGTTGATTATTAAAAATGATTGATTTCAATTTTTTTTATTAATATTCAGGCAATTGCAAAAAGTTGTATAATATACAATATTAATATACTTCGATAGAAAGTATTTCTTCTACATTGATGGATATTCTGTCTTTTTTCTTCAATCTTTATTTTATTTGAAAAACTTATTTATTCGTTTTTATATGAAATGCACAGCGGATACGGTAACTTGCTAAAACGTTGAACAACAAAAGTACCGAGAGAGGGAGTGTTGGCTGGCAAAACAAGATAGTGTCGGGAAAACGAGATTTCGAATCAATTTAAATTTTAAACGGGGTGTGAATTGTGAAGAGAATGAGTACGACATCAAATACAAAATTAATATTGACCGGCGCCGCATTGCTCATCGCGATTGTTAGTTGTAGCTTGGCAGTTGCAAGGTAAAAAATCTAAATTGTATGTTATATAAAACCACGCAAACAATACCTGCGTAATTTATTCTCACTGCAATACACAGTGTGCAGTACAAATAATTGATGCATGCTGTTTTTATCAATCAGACACAACGTCAAATTATTTTGTGCTATTTCACATGTGGATTTCTGTTGAGAATCGATCAAATTTAAATTGAAATAAAAAAAAATGTATCAATCCATTATACCATTGTGTTCAAAGGATCAATTGTTTTTTCTTCATGTTGTTCATTTATTCGAGAGCTTTTGAGTATCTTCTTATTGCATAATTTAGATCACATGAAATGACCTACCGTAAATACCTGCTGACAATCCCAATGGTTTTGAATGATAAACATAGCAAAATGAACAACAGAAATTTGAGCGATTGCTAAAATGCCATAAATTTTTTTCTCTTTAATTGTCCGCCACTCACAATACTTGAATATTTTATCATTTTTCTAACAAAACAGAGCAATTACAAATGATGAAATATCACCAGAAATAGATAAAGGAGAACCGACATCGGCAAAAATTGTAGCAAACATACGAAAAGTGATGCAAGATGTAAATCATGTAAACACTGTGCTTAATGCATATATAATACCATCAGTAGATGCACATCAAGTAAGTGGATTAATTCCAAAACAAAAACCAAATCGATCTAAAAAACATTTTCCAATTCAATTTAAATACAATAACAACAAATGGTAGAATGAAAATGTAGCCGATCACGATAAACGTGTTCAATATGTATCAGGATTTACGGGAATTGCCACAATTGTGATAACTGAGAATAAAGCCGTACTTTGGACGGACAGTCGATATATCCAGCTGGCCAAGAAGCAACTTGATAAAGAAACATGGACAGTAATGGAAGTGGGAAATCAAGACATACAAACAATTGCCGAGTGGCTTTCAAAAGAATTGCCACAAAGTTCACGCGTCGGAATCGATTCATTTTTAATTGAAGCAAAAGCATTTCATTCACTTCATGATTATCTTTCAGCCAACGGTGATCATTCGCTGCTGGTGGAAAAAAATCTCGTCGATGTTGTATGGGATGGTCAACCCGATTATAAAAAACCAGCACTTGAACCAATTGACCCAAATTCTTCGGGTAATATTTTTGTGTTGCATCCCATTTTTTTCTTCGGAATATTAATATGTCACAAAATCACAACAAATGATGTTTATGTGCTTGTGTATTTGATAAAGCAATTCTTTGTTCATCGTAGGCGAAATAATAAAAACAAAATTGGAACGTGTTCGAACGAAAATAGAAGCAAAAAAAGCGGAAATGTTGATTGTAACTAATTTGGAGGACATAGCTTGTAAGCGCTTATTCAAAATGAAATCAATCAATTCAAAGTTGTTTTCAATTCGATTCCATTTCTTTTTTTTCCTCTTGGAAACATATTGTAAAGGGTTTCTCAATCTGAGAGGTGGCGATATCGACTATTCAGCTGTATTCTTTTCATATCTAATTATTTTTAACGACATTAAAATTAAACCGCAATTGTTTTTATTGGACAAAGAACGTGCCAAAGCTCATAAAATAGACAACCACTTTAACACCGAACATGTAGACATTGCAATTGAAGAATATGCATCTAATGAAATAATAGTGGGAATTAGCAAAGCTGTGAGTAGTTTTTTTTAGTAAATTACCTATGATACGTGCGTAATTTTGAAAATCGTTTAATATATATGGTGTGTTTGTAAAAGCTTCGTAACATAAACGAGAGAGGTAAAGTAATTTTGTCATCGCCAAGTAAAGCGATTCATTCGACTATTCAAGAATCACGAAGAATCGAAGCCGAAAGTCCAATAAGGTCAATGCGAATAATTAAAAATGAAAAAGAAATAAAAGGGATGCGCGAGGCACACGAACGAGATGGTGTGGCAATTGTTAGGTATTTACATGAGTTGGACAAAGGAATCGATGATCAATTTATTACGGAAACAGAGGGTACAAAACTACTCGACAAATTTAAAAGGTACACAGAACCAATAAGAGATTTTCATCTCAGTAGTCATATTTTTTCAGTAACAAGTTTTTTTTAATGTGATCGCATTTGAAAGAAAAAAATATGCATTAACGCATAAATAAATTGTGTCATAGTCATGAAATGTACCGCAAATTGAGTTATCCACCTATAAGCGCTGTTGGCGCTCATGCTGCAATAGCAAAAGCCGCTATAAGAGACCAGTACGATAGTCAAATTACACGGCAAGAAATTTACTTAATTGACTCGGGAACTCATTATAAAGGTAAATAAAATTTACATGGTCTGAATTAGTTTTTATCATGGTTCATTACATTCCATTTATATATGATTAGATGGAACGACTGAAATGGCGCGCACAGTACATTTTGGCAGACCAACACCTGATGAGAAAAATGCATTTACACGCGTTTTGAAAGGTTTTATATCAGTGGCAACAGCTGTATTTCCGCCAAATGCACCGGTATGTCCTTATACTATAGGCACGAACTGACAAAAGCAACGAAAAATGTGAATATCAGCGCTATGTACCTTATGGTGAAGAAATGTGTAAACAATCAAAGCGCTATTTGTGAAACTAACACAATTTGATGTTTACAACCACCAACGCTTACACATATTGTCACCGGAGTACATGCCGCCAATAGTCATGTTCAGTTAGTTCATCCCTATGCCTTATACTGTATAAGTTATACAAACAATAATATAGACGCGACAATATTTCTTTTAAATTAACATTATATTTCATCTAAAGTTTTCATTCTTTGATGCGATGGCAAGACGTTCATTATGGGAAATTGGAAAGGACTATGATCATGCGACAGGTGACCTACAAAGCAAAACTTTGTGTTTATTTTTTTAATCAAGTTTAAACGCTTCTTTCTGGTCTGTTAGGTCATGGTGTCGGAACATATTTAAATGTTTTTGAAAATCCGCCGTTGTTAACCAGTAAAAATGAGCCACCAGGTATGTGCGAAAACATGTTTACAACTAACGAGCCCGGTTATTACGAGGCTGAAAAATTCGGCATTCGAATCGGCAATGTACTGCAAGTCGTTAAAGTACCAAATTCATCGGAGTATTTCAACAAAAATGGAGCGTATATGTTTGAAGATTTTACAATGGTTCCGATTCAAACAAAAATGATAAATGTAGATTTGCTTAGCGAATCAGAGGTAATTTCTGCGTTTCTTTCATTTTACCTATATAGTATGTGCTCGCATTTTCAGGACGGACATTTTTGATTTCATTTAACTTCTGTTCATTTTGCTTTTTAACTTCATCAATTGTGCATATTTCAATTAATTTATTTATTTATTTTGATGAGATTTTAACAGAAAGAACGCATGTTTTTGCACATACTTTTTTCACTTTTTTTATTCAATTTACTCTGCTGGACCCAACTTTACCAAATCTCTGTTCTCTGGTAGATTTGTCAAGAATAAAGAAAAAGTTTTACTGCTATATGAACACAATCCATACACAGAAACAAGTATTCGAGTACGCTTACTCGCACTTGCGGTATTAGTAGAGGTTTTACCACTCAAAATGAGTTACGCACTCTATTTAACTCTATTTTTGGTGTTAGTTTCATCAAAGTAAACGCATCACAGTGAAAAAAGAGATACATGTGTAGTACATATGTACGTTGTCGCATGCGTTCAATGAGTTATGTTTCGTTGCGTGCATATGAGTCTGTGTATACGCCAACGAATATGATTGCTAAGTGTATCATCACATACGTTCGATGAAACTAACATCAAAAATAGAGTAAAATAGAGTGCGTAACTCATTTTGAGGGGTAAAGTCTCTACTAACACCGCAAGTGCGAGTAAGCGTACTCGAATACTTGTTTCTGTGTAGCTGTCCAAACTGAGAATATTTTATATTAAGTGAAATTGGGACATGTTAAAACTTTGCAGTTCTACTTTTTTTTTTCAATTAACACTGTAGTAGCCTAGTTGATAGATTAATGATTTACGTCTGAATAGGTTATCATATTTTGCATCGCATGTCATATTGACTAGGGGCAAATTGCACTTTCAAAAATTACAATTATGAACATTTATCGGTGATTGTGCGCCATTTTGTATTTTATTTACATATTTTTTGAATAAAAATTCATTTTCTTTGCAAAAGAAAAATTAGAATTTAAAATATTCGAAAATATTATTTTATTAATAAAACACAAAAAATCTAGAAAAAAATAATTTAGAAAAATATTCGTGAAATATTATCAAAAATGGTCAAAAATTGTAAAAAGTGGTACGAAACCGCCGATAAATGTTCATAATTGTCATTTTTGAAAGTGCGATTTGCCCCTAGCATATTGATATGGCAACATTTTGTTTACAATAAACAAGAATCAAAAATTGAAATACATTAAATTAAATCGCAACACATGTCCAGCTGAAAAGTGTGAACTAATTTTGTCACCACCAAAATGTTTCCATTTCTATAATTATTTCATAGGTCGAATGGTTGAACAAATATCATAAGCGAGTATTCGAAAATATCCAAAAACATTTGAGTGACGACTCGAATATTATTGCATGGTTAGAAAAGGAAACTAAACCGATATCAAAGAAAAAGGAGGATTGCAATGAAATTACAACACCTGAAAGTCAAGTGACAACCATAACTCCAACCGAACAATGATGATGCCATTACATATCATATCCAATTCATGAACGACACATACATCCAAATCATCTACAATAATTAACTAGGGGACGGACACCATTATAAATATTAGACTAGTTGTGAAATTTTACCGCATATTTTGTACAATATTTTTTCAATATCTATTTTGTACGATTTTACTGCCCAAATCGTACTTTCCGCTTTGTAAGTTCTACTGCCTATTTTGTATTTAACCGAACTGTATGACGTTTCGTTTCTGTGTTCGTTGAAAAAAATCTCAACCAAAGTTTGGACATACACGTAAACGGTGCGACAATGGTTTAAGTACCACCCTGCATTCAACAAAATTTTGATTATAAACACATTGTTAAAGCTGTGACCCATTAATCGGCAATAAAAAAAAACATTTAAATAATGCAAATAGTTGAAATTGGTTTTGTTGAATAGGTATATTAATTAAAATTTGGTTATATTTTGTTAAATAACCGATTTGAGCTTAGTTAAAGTGTTAGCCGAAAAGTTTTCACGTAGATAATAAAGTAGTGAAAGACATATAGAGTCATCCGATTATACTGAATGAGTTAAATTGAGCTTAAAATCCATAACAAAAAGCTGTGGTTTCCACATTTGGCTATTGTTATCGTTCAGTTGAGCACTATAATCCATATTTTAGGTTCATCTGACCTACGTTTGGCTACAAAAGAACAATGCCAGGATACGGTGCAAAGCAATGCTATGACGTAAAAGTTAGCGTCATTGCACGCTTCAGATGAAATAGAAATTCACAATGAAGGTATCAAGTCTATTTCTTAAATGAATATGGAATGGAAAAGGAAATGACATAGGTAAAAAAAATCAAACACGTGAATTGCTGCTGGTGAATCAAGCATTTTCAAACGGAGTAGCCTTCGCATAACAATAGAACGATCGAGACCATGCGAAAAGAAAAGGCAAAAGAAAATCTTCCATTCTTCTTCCTGTCTGGTACTTTCGATTCCAAATAAACCTTAAAAATAACAAATAAAGTGCAAAAGAAAAAATGAATCCAAATAGAATAAAAAATGAAGTGGTATTGCGATTGCACAATAATACACCACCGTTCAATATGGAAATTGCAAATTCCCCGACAAATACACTGATATTGGTGATTTTATGCTGTTGATGTGCGTTCCACACAGTTCAATTTATACTATGTGTGGGTAGGTCTGCTGGCTCGTTTTATGATTCGGCTCATACTACTGCTGCAGCAGTACGAACCAACCAACCGAACGCAACGGTTCGAATTGTGTGCGAGACTTTGTATACACCGAGCACATCTGTCTACAAGCAGTTCTACCATGACAACTTACATTGTACGATAAGTATTTTTCGGGTGTAAGAAGCAAAAACAACATATTCGTGGATGAAACAACAACAACAAAAAAAAAATATTGTGTTCTTTCGACAAAATTACAATTAGTTGTTACAAATAATATAAATAATAAATAAAAAGAGTATACACCAGTTTCGACAAGGAGAAAAGGAAAGCAGCAATTCGAATTGCGCTACGGTTAAATGTGATGCGCTATTTTTATTGATTTTTCCAATTTCCTACGTAAATTGTGAACTGAATACAGTGTGTGAGAGGGGAAGAGTGCTGTGTACGGCGGTGTCGTATGAAGACGACGAAGATAGAGAAAGAGTGCGCACGATGTTTGAGTGAAAACGAGTGCATATACTTATATTTCAAGATCTCTCTCTTCTCATTCATATATTAATTCCATATGGTTTAAATAAATAATAATAAATACACAAAAGATTGAAATGTTCAACACGCACGGCCTCATTGCTGTCCTAATTCTAGCTTTAATTAATGCAAAGACAGCCGTTACTAAAAATGACAATTACCCAGGTAAACTTTATATCAAACGTTCTATTTTTGTTATCATATTGACACTTGAATTCTATGAGAATTATTGTTGTTGTTTTTATGTTATCTACTGTTGTTTCAAATTGAGTGGCATGATGTGGGCACCGAACCATACTAACTTGATGAGAACAAAAAGCGATTTGTTTTTTTTTTTTCGGAAGTATCGTATACGAAATTGACACAAAACTACCATATGCTTATCAAAATATTGCCATTTATTTGCTTAATAGCTGTTTCATTTTAAGTTTTCGCTTTTTTTTAGGAGCCCTTAAGAGAAATGTTAAACACATTTATGGAAGGTACCATTCAAATAATTAAATTTATTTTATTTTTCGAATAAGGTCTTCGTAAACCGCCTTCAATATCGTCCGGTTCACCATATGATAATGTTTTGTTGTTGAAAAACAGAAATGAGCATGCACGACGACGTTTTCAACAGCGTCAACAACAACAACAACATTACTCATTTCCAAACGATGAACCATTGACCGATGAAGTGTCTGGTCCAGGATTCACATACAAATTACCAATACAATATCAACCATATACAAGCGATGATGATGAAATTCCATTTGCCGTTGGGCCGAATCATCCAAAATTTTACGAAAAAATTGGCAACACATTTGATTCAAACAGCAAATCAGAGCCAATATTTACGTATAAAAATAGATTGGCCGCTGAAAGTGATCCCATTTACTTGACCAGTGACGGATATACATCGATCAAAGTGAAAGCACCAATGAATATCAATCCAAAAATTATACCAAGCGTTGATTATTCCGATGATGTTGACACCGAAAATAATTCTAATGATATATCAAAATCAAAAGATGTTTTCATGCTTGACGACTTACGAAAAGCGCAACGGAAGGGACAAGGTAAAGCCATCGCCAATGAATTGCAGCCCCCAAATGATGTTGCCAAAAAGCCAGTCGATTTGAATTCAGCATGGGTTATTGCCATTATTGCTGGTGTTAGTGCTGCATTTACAGTTGGTTTACTTGGCATTGGCATAGGATGGTATACGTAAGTTTCCGCATCGCTTTTTGACCATATGTAAACAATAACACTATAAACATTCTTTCATTTAAAAAAAAAATAGTTTGCAGAAGAAAGCAAAAGCCGCCGCAGATGTTGATTATCCAGCTTATGGAATCACTGGTAAATAAATTTTAGCCACTGTATGTTTAGTGCATTTCCAATTTATTCTAATTTAATTGAATAGGTCCGAATAAAGATGTGTCACCATCGTCTGGTGATCGGCGATTGGCACAAAGTGCACAAATGTATCATTATCAACATCAAAAGAATCAAATAATCGCAATGGAGAATCAAAATAGCGGTGAACAAAATGGTTCATTGTCTGATATTGAAACTGATGACGAAAATGAAGAAGGCGATTACACAGTTTATGAATGCCCTGGACTAGCACCAGTATGTATATATTCAGCGAAAGCAATTCTGTTTCTGAAGTATCATTTCAATTGTTAATGAATCAATGGATTAATCATATTTCGTTTCGTTGTTATTTAGACCGGTGATATGGAAGTGAAAAATCCACTATTTTTGGATGATCCAACTCCAGTTAAGAAGAGCACAGCGACAAAACCGCAACCATTACCACAACAATCACAACAACAGCAACAAAAACAACAAACTAAACCCCAACAATCAAATGATAATCCAACAACTTCAGATCCAGCCATTAAAAAATAGCTTTTCTAAGCCTAATTTATACAGGCCCAAAATATTTATTTTCAAACAGCAAAAAATACAAAACAAAAAATAACTATATATTTATTATATTGTATATTATGAATTTGTCTCTAAACACTAATGGACATTATAAAAACAACCAAATAGATCTTTTGAATAAAAGGTATTTATTTGAAAATATTTAGTGTGATATGTGTGACGCATATATGCTAACATCTTTTTTTTTAAGTTTAATCATCGTTCTTCTTGCGGGTATTTATCCAATCATTACGAAAACCATAAAATCAAATTCAGGTGAAAGACTGTTAAAATGATTTTGTATCACGTTCGCATCAAACCAATGACAAATAAAAACTAAAACGAAATACTGGACAAGAATCAACGACCCAAAGGTGAATGTTTGAACATTGCATGCGCAAACTGGATTCAGATTTTATGATTTATCAATTGATCGTAAATACATAAATATCCTGGTAAATTCACCTGGTAATAAGTATTTTCTTTTTCCTAATAAAAAATATGATGTATCACATGACAAACAAAAATAATAATAAAAAATAAAACAAAATAAATGTCAACTTATATGAAGTAACAAATAAATTTGTATATGCATGTTATAACTTCAATTAATTAGATAAATATATTTAATACCAACAATCAAGGTTGTTTTTAATACTGCACCTTCCCCGAAATTACGGTTATTTTTATTTTCTCGCAGTTTTTGAAGAGTGGCGTTGCCGAGGATCGATTTAAAAAAGCGGACGAAAATTTCAGAACAGGGCAGACTGATTGTTATGCGTAGCGCTTGACCTTATAATTATATATATGCAACTACCGCTTGATAGAAGAACAACAAAACCAACTCTTTGACTTTACATTTAACATTCATTGAATCTATTTTATTTTATATAAAGAAATATAATTTCCATTTGTTTTTTTTTTTTTAATTTTCAACTTTTGATTCTCCACTTTCAGTCGATGTATCTAGAGATTTTGCTCGTCGTGCTATTTTCGAAATACTGTTGGCACGAATGAAGCCTGAATGTATTTTTTTTTCCAGCTTCGTTTATTTTTGCCTAAGGGGAGAATCACAAAAGAAAATAATCGAATTTAAAATAATCAAATAATCATTTGTGTATACCAAATGCCCTATACTGCCGGAGATGAGCACTTTGTCGCTTTTTGACAAAAGCTTTTCAATATATTTACGTAGATCAGCATCATAGGCGACTACATGATGGAAAGTGGTCTGTTCAACAGGTTCACCTTCTTTGTTTCTAAGGAGAAAAAGGGAGTTGAATCAGTATCGATAAGATGTTGTGTTTTTAATAACGCTTACATCGTTGAAAAATGTGTTGCGGCATCAAATGAGCAATCCTTCTCTTTTACAGAGATAGTTCTAGCGACGTTGGCAACGATTTTGACGTTATTTTCATTCACTTCACCACCACCAACATCTTCTATGACAGACACATTATTGGCAATCACAACCGTTGAGGTAATGGTCTTTTTATCTTTATTCGATAGCGCGGCTTCGTAAGAACGCAATTTACCATTAACGTAAATACGTTGACAAGCTGTAAAATTTGATAACGAATATTATGAGTTGAGGTGAGATCAACCGGCTAAGCCTATGAAGAGACAAAATGCGAATTCCCCTCATCTGTGCCATCTTGTATTCCATAGTTGAACTCCCATTAGTTACAATGAATTGAATCGAAAAAGAGAAAAAAAACAACAACAGTAACATGGCTACATAGATCTGTTGACCAGTGAGATACGTATAACAATGGAATGAAAGAATGAAGAAAGCGTATATGTGTATGTATGCATCAGCACGCATAGATGTACAGCTCTGTATGTGGCCGTGCTATTGTTGTTGTTTTTTCTCTTTTTCATTTCAATGCTACAGAATTAAATTCAGTTTTTCGATCTAATTCGAACTGATGTGAGGTGGCGCTGATCAGCTGCGTTCGCATAAAAAAGTTTCCAATCTCATATACGCCAACCCCGCTTGGGTGGAATAAAAAAATAACAGAGAAAATGAGTTTGCCCATTTGAAATTAAAATTCGTCTGGTGAAAAGTTTTATTAATAGAAATCTCACTATCTATCTTCTGAATCGTATGTTTTTACGGTAAGTTGCTTAATTCCGGATTTAAGTTTGTAGGAATCGAAAATTAAAGTTCCCATAATTTTAACTTCGTTAACATCTAGATGAAAGAAAATATGTTATTCTCGTTTATTTTTTGAACGTATCCTTTTTTTAAAAAATTACCTGCGCGATAGACTCTTTTTGTTGCTTTGGTGCAAAATCCCGAAGTAAATGAGGAAAAATTGAATACATTTTTTACTGGAATCCGGATTGATCGCAACATTTTAAAGATTTTTCGAGGTTATTTACGCTCAATTCTTTTTGAAAGACAATGTGAATTGTTTGAACCAACACTATACTCTAGTATTTTGACAGTTCTGGCTATTCAGTTGTGTAATATCTATCGATGTGTATGTACAAATATATATGTAGAATTGTAGATACGGGATGTTCTTTATAAACATTTTTCATTGGAGAACTACTTAGTTGCATACCATGAAAAAATTAGCAGGGCCGGTGTAAGCAATATTTTTAGTTAACGTAACGGAACCTGAGAAATTTTGACCATAAGTGTTTGCCGAGAGATAGATTTGGTAAAAAAACTTCTGATGGAAAAGTTTCCATATTTATTCTGCCGTAAACATCAAGAGTCTCTTTAGAAAAGCTGCTTCTCTGATAAAAGTGCTATATATTCGGCATTGGGCGAGCTCTGTTGTCATTAAAATGAACTCTCATTCTGTTGCGATGCACAGTTTGAAAGAGAAGCACGCAAATTTTTTTCCAGTGAATAGGTCGGGCTACAGCTATAGCAGTGCTATTTTCACAGCTCCTATCCAGTGAAAATAGCACTGCTATAGCTGTAGCCCAATCTATTCACCGGTTTTTTCTCAAAACATTCTTGGAATTTTCAGTGTTATCCACTGTTTACGTAGGCACGTATCCAAATGTTATTGTGGATTCATCGTGGTTCAATAGCCTTATTTTAACCGAAATTCTGTCTTAAATACGCATATTTTTTTCGAGAAAAATAAACAACCGTCTGTTCAGAATCAGCGAAAATCGGTGAAATAAAAAAAAAATATTTTGAAAATGTGTTTTGAATCATCATTATTGCAGCTCTGATGACATAAATTTTTATTCTTATTGTTAATGACACATTGAATTTAATGCATAAATACATATCTTGATACATATACATAAATATATACATGCAAACCGATATATGTATATTGGCAAAAAAAATCAGAGTTTAATTTTCATAGCTAGAATTGGGAATGTATTTTATATATATATATGTATGTCAGAAATACTTCCAAATAAAAAAAACATAGGAAGGTGCATTGCCAATCATTCATAAATGGATGCATTTTACGAGCGTAAGAATTCCACAAGAAATTCCACGCGTTACCCGAATAGCGCTAAATATTTACGGAAGCTAGAGACATATTTCAGCCTCTGAATATATAAGCAGCGGTCGCATATGGGCCAAAACATCGAGTAGTTTCCGTGCTTGTCCGATCCGGAGCGAAACAAAAATCTTTTTCCGAAATCGAGAAAAATGAAGAATATTATTCAGTATTTATCTTTAATAGTCGTATAGCGCTATTTAAATGGCCGTATGTAGCCCATTTGTATCCATTTGTGAATGTTTAGTCAATGGAGTGAGTGATTTTTTTCTATCGTTAAAATTAACTACTCGTATAATACTAATTAAGTATCCAAAAGCTATTTCCAGCGTTAACAAAATAGTGATACTATGTTTAACGAATTATTATCGAATTTTGTTCATTATGTGTAAAAATAAAATGAGATTGGGTTCGCAAAAAACACAAAAAATATATGAAAAATAATACATCAATTTTCAATATAAAAATTTTCTATTTAAATTCATGCTATATATTGCATACACCGACTTTGAAATTGTGCATTTTGATTTAAAAAAGAATAATACTTTATATAACCCAGGGAAAAAACAATTTATGCTGGACGCAAAAAAAGTAAAAATTATGGGGTTTGTTTAAACGAAATTTAAACGCATATTGAACGGTTTGATCTTTAAAAAATGTCATAAAACCACTGTCGTGCGTGGGACGGAAACAGAAACTTTCAAATAAATTTAAAGCTACATATTTAACAATTTATCGCGGGAATGCGTAATACGAGGTTTACGTTTTGTGTTTCATTTTTTATAATTTTTTTCTTTCAGAAATCGCAATTTATCGTTAATTTATCAGAAATGAACATTTTGCATGGGAATATAATAAATGTTGTTTTGTTTTCTCTTTTTTTCGCTTTGCTTTTTTCAACCTAATTTCCAGCGAAATAACAAACTGACAAAAAACAAGATTGAATACATAATCTAATAAATGTAACGTGCTTTAAAAAAATTTACTTTCTAATATCGTAAAATGAGAATCCCATTCGACAACCGATATATTTCAAACTGTGAATTTGGTCGATTTTCAATAAGTTTGCTCGTATCTCTGATATAATAATCCCCGATATCATATTTTAAAAAAATGAAATGTAAAGGAAATATGACCTTAATTCACCATATGTGTCAAATCCAAAACCGTTATCGATCGATACTGTGTTTTTTTTAACCTTTTAACTTGATTTTGAGGCTCAAGATTAGTACAGAATTCATATACAAAAAAAACCAAAGCACTCAAATTTTCACAAATAAGCGAATAAATGTGTGTGTGTCTGTAACATTCGGAAAAATGTTCAACGATATCAATAATATGGATCCATTGCAAGTAAGCACTTTGAAGGAGTAGAAGGATTTTTTTTGAATAAATATCGAACCATTGAGAAGAAAATGATCTTATTTTGACGAAACAATTTCGATGAAACGTAGAATACGCTCTAGATTCTTGTATAGTTCAATGAATGCCTCAAAATCAGTCTTAGGTATAACTAAATATTATTTCAATCGTCCTGCCGAAGCGACCTTCATATCTGCCGAACTGATATTTTCGGCTGTTTGATTTGATAGCATTGATGTATCGGCCATTGGCAATGGTTTTGCAACACCGATACGAACAACACCTTTTGGTGCACCTTTCAATGCTTGTACGGCTTGATCCAATGATGAATTTTCTAAATTCATATCGTTTACAAAGAGTAAACGATCGCCAGGTATTAGTCGGCCATCCAACTGTGCAACACCACCGGGCACAAGTGATCGAATCACTATTAATGTATCATTCGCATCCAATGGATCCTAATCAGTATAAAATAATTAAAATTCAAATTGTAAATGAATGATGTGGTAAATGGATGTGATTGTAATAATTTGACATACCTGATAGTCCAAAATAGAGAAACCAAGACCACGCTCGCCTTTAATTAGTTCAATAATTTGTGGATCAGAACTCCACATTGCCAATCCAGTCAGAGGCTCAAGCGATCTGTGAATGAAAAACATGTATTTGTGAATATGTTAATTTTATAATTGCAGTTGATGAAAATAAAGTACCTTGATTTCAATTTGGAGAATGAATCATCCGTTCCGCCACCACTTGTTGCCAAACTGCCATCGGATTTTGCTTTTACAAGACGATCAGATGATGGCATCACCTCTCCAATAGTTGGTGTTCCACTCAATTCGAAATCCAACTTCTTTCGAATGTTTTCTTCGGTTAGCGGTTCTTCTTCTTCATCAATACGAGCACACACCATGCGTACATCTTGCGGCAATTCTTTGAGTATTGCAACCACCTCAAGATGATTCATACCAAGCAAACGCTGCCCGTTCACCTCTGATTAGAAATAAAAATAAAAAAAAGTTGAAACACAAAAGAAATCAGACACGCACGCGCTAATGCATATTTCGTTTATTTACCAAGAAGTTCGTCGCCTGAACGAAGTAATCCGTTTTGCCCAACTGGTCCTTCCGGTAATATAGATCGAATATAGTGATGTGGTCTAACTTCACGTCCACCTTCAACGTCAACGGTTCCCTCCAATGAAATGCCTAATCCACTTGATGCGGTAAATTTTCGAATTTGCGCCACAATAATGTTTGTCGATTCACCTAATACTGATTGCCATTTGTTCATGATAGTATTTTCTACATCTTTTGCCAATACCGATTCAACCCAGTACTTTGGTTTATCTGACGTCACTGAACCAGCAGCATCTAAGTTTTGTGAATCCGTGTCGGTTGGTGTTTTTTCACTCACACCATGTGTTTCAATGTCAATATTTTCGATGCCAATTTTGGTCGTTTCAATGGAATCACGAGTTGTTGCTAATTTACGTGTACTTAAATTTGCCAATGGATCAATTAATTCTTTTGATGGTGTGTCGGTCAATTTAATGGTCGATGCCGATGTATAGCTGCCATTTTGTTTAGAATGTGATGATGTCGATGTTAACGATGGTCGTCTGGTAAGCTCAGTTGTTCCAATGCTTTGTGTTGATGATGTCTGCGAACGTCCAGCTGGTGGTGGAAATATTGTTCCACTTCCACTTGGTGTTTGTGGTTTTAATTCGTTTGCCGCTATTGCTTGTTGTAATTGTTCATATTTTGGTCCACGCAAATATCTCTCCAATCGTAATGATACGACTGTTCCACTTTTTTTAAGTACTTCAACAGCTTCGTGGTTTGTAAATCCTTGCAATGATTGATTATCAACTTCGATAATACGATCATTTACCTGAATTTTTCCACTCAAATCGGCCGCACTGCCTGCCGAAACGCTTTTCACAAATATGCCCGATAGTTCTTCTTTTTCACAAACGTATCCGGCTATTGTGATGCCCAAACCGTTTGCATCTTTTTTCAATTCGACAACAAAACGTTCCGTTTCCGGCATATCTAATTCGTCCATTATTGGCAATGACATTTTTGAACGATTCACAATCGCATCGTCGACACTCTCACTGAATATAAATTTATCATTTGCGGTGGGTGTTGGTGTTGATTGTGGTGATGAATATCCAAGTATATCAGCATAGCCCGCATCCATTAAGTAACGTTCCAATTTACTTCGGTCCGAAAGAAGCCTATAAAGTTTACCCGATACAATTGTATTATTAATTAGCTTGGTATGTTTCATATTTATTTTCAAAATATTACCTTGCTGGAACAATGGCTGATGATTCAGCCTCTTGGCTACTGCTTTTGACTGGATCAATTGGCCGGGCAACGACGAGCCGAACATGCGTACCAGATCGTCGTAGTACGTTGGCCACTTCTTCTGAATTCATTCCTTGTAAATTTACATCACCAATTTGTAAAATATGATCACCGCTAATAAGACGACTGTCACGATCAGCAACACCGCCCGGTTTAATTGTTTTAACTATTGTGCCCGATGTTCGTGCACCAATTATTCCAAAACCCAAACCAGTTCCATCATTTACCAATTCAATTGATTGAATTTGTACACACTCTGATGCCATAATATCGGTTGAATAGTTTGCTGTGTCATTGGTTGCTGCCGATTGTGGACGTTCATCGTCCAAACGACTGACATCCGAATGTTGATTGTAATCTAATTTACTTGAAATGCTTGGGCTGTTTGGACTTCGTGGCGATAATTGTGCAGATGGTACACGTTGCTCGTCAACATAATCACCGCCATACATATCCATGGCCGGTGGAACATTTATTATTAAATCACCTGATAAACTGATATCAAAATCATCGGGCAACCTTATTGGAAATTAAAATGGTTTCAATCATGGACACATATCAATTCTAATAACTAAATCACAATTGCACAAGGTACTTACATAGATGGATGTTGTAGTATTTGCGAATTTAATTCAGTGGCTGAATCTTCGATTTGGATAATGCTGCGGAATATCGGATCTTGTAATATATGGAGAATGGTTTTAAGGCTATCGGCCGTGCTTGCTTGCAATTTCGGAATGTCCGAATCATCGACAGCTTTTTTGATGGCCTCAATTTGTTGCAATGCTTTCGAAATATCCAAATTGGTCTGCATTGTGATTGATTTTTGAATAAATTGATCAGCACACAAAATCAAAAGCAATTCACTTCAACTCGCTCAAGTTTAATTTATTTTTTATTCAAAATATTTCATTGAATTTTTTGTTCAGAAGGCTGAATGCACCTAATAAATATCAATGTTTATGTTTTGTCACTGTTTGGTGGTATTTGTCGCAAAACCCCAAGTTGTGCACAAATTCAAACGATAATTGTAGCACCACACGTAATCAAATAAACAAAAAAATTAGCAGAAATAGAAAAATATATGGAATGTATGTTGTTTTCAATTTTGAAAATAAAAATTATTCTCTTCTTTTCAATAAATCACAATGTGTGAGTGAAAAAAAGTCTATGTATATATACATCAATTAATGATGAACAAAACACATCAATATGGCGCTGTTGTCTTTTTGGTTCCACATTTTTTCGTGTAGGCGGCACTATCAGTACGAAAACATTGAATTCTTTTGGAAATGACACATTTCAAATCATATAGCGCGAATAAACAAGCAACAATATTTTTTTTTAATTTAAGTAAAATTACTGTAGAAATAGTTAACATTTATTATAATTAGAACAAAATTGTGTCAAAATTAACATAATTTATCTAAATTATATTCGTTTAGATATTTGGTTGCAAATAATAAACATTTAATTGATACCAAAAATAGTCCAATTAGAAAAAATATGATAAACTCGGACAAAAAGTGCGTCATTCCCTTAATTTTGCACGCGATAACGCTAACGTAACGTTATCGTTCCCTTTACTTGATATGAGAGAAAGAGAGAGAATTTGTGCAATTGCATTACCAAAAGGTAACAATTTATTGCACTAATTTTTGTTATAAATTACATTACGGAATTCTATTTGTCAACAACGTCGATAAAACAATCACTCATGCGCCTATGTTTCAAGCGACAACAAAATGCCATTTTTCTCGCGATTTAAAAATAGAACATGATACACAGCAGTTTAATTGTTTTATTTCTTTATGGACACAATTTCTTGCTATTTATTCAACATTTCGTTCATCTTAATTAACAGTATTGCTACTTACGTTTGTCTTCCATTCAATTTCTATTGATCCAGCCATATATGCATGTCAAAATGATAAGCAAATAAAATGAATGAAACAAGCTATTTATTTTTCTCTTTCCATTATTTATATTCATTCTGTAATTGTACTAAAACGTACGTTTATTGAAAACTTATTTTTCCTCTTACAATCACACGAACTTAGTAAAAAATAAATTACATGTTATACTCTTTTCAAAACATATATATTTTTTTAAATTGATTATAGTGTGTGTGTATGTGTGAAAATTGCCCTTTTTTTAAAATGATTTTCTTTTCCTAGCACTTTAAAAATGCTTGCAATGCATATAGTTAAATGGGATTCTGCTTATGTTTTCGAGTATGTGTGTGTATATATGTGTGTGTGATATCATCAGTCGAAACCGTATGCAGCCACTAAGTGATGTTCATAGTAGTTGCTAGCTCGTTTTATGATAATTTAATTGGGAAATAAATCGGCTAGTATATCTTTCGTTGCTTGTGACAGTCGATCTGGGAACTGAATTTCAAATGCAATCAATAAATCGCCACGTCTTGATGGTTCTTTTGGAAACGGTAGCCCTTTGCCTTGAATACGTTTCACTGTATTTGGTTTTATCACTTCGTTTGATGTATTTAGAGTGATTTGTTCACCAGTTAGTGTTGGCACACGTACTGTAATACCGCACAATGCTTGTCGCAACGTTACTTTAGCGGTGTATCGAATATCACTTGCTTCACGTTTGAATGTTTGATGTGGCTTATCGCGAATGATGAATACAATGTCGGCTGGTATTTTGCCGGGCATCACATCGCCTTCACGTTGGAATGTGATTTTTGTGCCAGCCTTCCATCCAGGCTTAACCGTAATATTTAGCACTTTTTCTTCTTTGCGAGCTGTACCATCTGCTTGCATTACCTAAGGGGAGAATCACAAAAGAAAAGAATTAATTTAAAATAATCGACAAATACAATTAATGTATGAATGTGCTTGCATTACCATTCGTGATATTTTCATTTTTTTTTGTGCAACCTTTGTCGATATCCTCTAGGCTTACGTACAAATCATGTTCAATCGGCGGATCTTGTTGTCCACGTTTTCGATTTGGTGACTGATTGTGCACATTAAATGATTGTGAACGAAATGCACCGCCTGGACCACCACGACCACCTGGCCCACCAAACATTCCATTAATATGCGAATATGCATCGCCACCGTCATCGTCCATACCGCCAAACATGTTCGATTCAAACATTCGGTTGGGATCACCACTGGTCGAAAAGAAGATATCAAATGGATTCGAACTACCAAAGAACTGTAAAATGACAAAAGTAAGAAAAAATAATTTTATTAGCACGAATATTCATCAAAGAAAATTCAAACGAAAAGTAAAACAATTCTTTAAAATGTGTTCAATTTATGACTTTATTATGATGCTTACCTGTGCAAATGTAGCCCGTGGATCGCCGTGGAATTCATATGTGAATGTTTGTCCACTATCACCCGGACCACCTCCCGGTGCTCCACCATGTAATCCCTCTTCGCCATATTGATCATAGATATCGCGTTTCTTTTTATCAGATAGCACTTCATACGCTTCGGCAATCTCCTTAAATCGTTCTTCGGCGCCAGTTGATTTGTTTTTGTCTGGATGATATTTTAGTGCAAGTTTTCGATAAGCTTTCTTAATTTCATCGTCACTTGCACCCTTCTGGATGCCAAGAATTTTATAAAAATCTTTTCCCATTTTGTCCTCTGTGATTTTCTACGGAAACAGAATCAAAAAAAAAAATTGAAAAACCAAATCACGGGTAAAAAACATACAAATTTTTCTTTTCTTTCTTATATCTAACAATCGGTCATTGTTTAATGTGACCGAAAAATAGGTTTGACCACTGTAACTAGAAAAATAATTAAGCTAAATTGCAATCCGAATTCAAATGAACGATTTGCTTCTCCGTTTTGTGTGCAAATGTTGGGCTATTTTCATACTTTATGACATCGATGATGTGCGATGATTCTATTCAGTACATTTTTCAAACTATTTCAATTCTAGTGAATAGAAAATTGAAACTCTATGCATAAAAATATTGGACTTGTTCAATGGACAAAAAAGCGACTTATACATAGTGAACTGCGTAATGACAATATGTAATGTGTTAATATTGAAATGTCCTTGATTCGAACATACACAGACAGCGAAAAAAAACTTCTGTATTCGATATTTGCTCAGCGATAGTTAATCACGACACATGACAATGATGCAATAAATGGACGATTTAAAAATGTCACTGTTGCCTTTAGTCTCTTTCTTTTTCTCACTTACGGCTTGAAATGACGATTCTTTTTTTCGTGTTTTCAAAACCGAACAAACAAAAATGACTTGTTTTGTTCAATACAATGTCCCAATATATCCATTCATTGGATCAACATATGTGCCGAAAACAATTGCAAATTACTGTAGAATCGAAACACCACATTATAACCACGCACAGTCGTTCCACAATAATGCAATTTTTTTTGTTATTCGTTTCAAATATGGACCATTTTCGATTGAATGACATCAAAATTTACATTTAAAGCACGATTATTTATTTATACATCGATAAATATGTATGTTACGAAATGTTATTTGCGATGTAAAAGATTTTGCAGCTAGTATGGTAGTGGCAAGGCAAAATTATAACGAAATGAATTATTAATTGGAATTGATTTATTCAAAAAAAAAAAACATTAAATTTATATGAATCGCAACTGATGAAAAACAAATCGCTGAAACACACCAATTTTACGCATTTAATTTTACAACAGAAAATTGCACGCAATAAATTTTTTTTTTTGTTCCGACTAAATATTATCAAAATAATTAAAGTAAATTGGTTGTCACTAATAATGACATTTAAATAACAAAATATTAATACTTACTTTTCAAATGTTTTCACACAATTTCTTTTTTCAATGATAAACTTATAAACAATTCACTTTTTTTTTCTCCTTCGTTTGAGATGGAATTTTTTTTACTTTTAAATATAAATTTGTATAAAATGATGGTTCACGTTTATTTGATTGACTTCAGCAATCGAAATATCAAAATTAATATACAGAAAGAAATTACAATTAACTTTTCGACGACTTCAAAAATAATAATTCACTTAGCAAATTCTTCACTTCAAATGCTTTCGTATGAATGTCTACGTGCGATGACTGCAATGCTTATATATAACGTCAATATTGTGTTCTCGAAACTTCTAGACTGAACGATCAACATCTATAACATGCCAGAGCCGAAGCACTCGTATTTCCTCGATTTGTATGGAAGGAAGCGTAATTCGCAATTTACCACACCACTATGCATAGATTGACGAAATACGTTCAAGAAAATATTGTTTTAAATTTTGTATGTCAAATTTTTTTTCCAATATTATTGATTTGTATTTTTTAAAAGAATTTTTTCCTGGAAACATTTCAAAAATAAAAGGAGGTAAAAGAACGTTTTGGATTGCCATATTTGAACGTTCAATCGGGCACACAATTGCAAATTCTTTTGTAACTAACTTCAGTTGGTTGTAGATGGCGGTCATGTCATTTTAATAGCAACATTCTGTCTATTCAAAACGAAACGTTCAACAGAAAAAAAAAATTGTCTCTTGTGTTTTTGTGACTAAACCCATTTTCTCCCAATTTTATTTTATTTAAGTCTTTAAATGGTGTTTTTTTTCTATTTTAATCACTGATTTTTTGTTTGTACATTAACACATCATAAACAAATTATATTTAAGACTTTCTTTTTGTTAAAAAGTAGTGAAAATCCATAAAAATGCCACGAACCAAGCTCAACAAAAAAGTCACAAACAAGCGAAACAGAAACAGTACGGCAGATGAGTTGCGTTCAAATGCCATTAGCGATATTGAACGAGGTATATTATAGAAACAAATACATTGCATACAAAATTACAAAAAAAAAAAAAAAACAAGGAAAAAACGTTAACACATTTGAATCATTTTTTCTTTCCTTTTGGATCTGCATACAGAAATGGATACGATGCACACCGAATTTAAGTTCAAGCAAGAGGAGCAAAGAGATCAAATACGCAATCATATTGCAAACATTAAATCGAAATTGTCAGCTGCATTTCTTGAATTGAAAATGGGCGCACTCAAAGAATTGGCTGAACAATCAATTAAAACGTATGAAGAGGTACAAAAACACATAAACATGACCAGCGGACCGTTGGCAAATATTACAAATCAAACGCTCAACAGTATTAGTGTGGCATCGGTTAAAAAATTGTCACGAACAGATGATGGTACGTATGCAATTGATTGTCATTATTTATCTATTGCAATCGCGCGATTTTTTTTCTTAATTTTTCAAAATTAGTGGTGTTTAGTCTATTTCATGTTAATTTGCTTAAAGGTTTATGGGTTTTTTTTCCCCAACTAATAAAAATCTTTTCTTTCCTTTCCCGCCATTTACATACACACACAAACACATGCTATCTGTCATAAATTGCTTTCTTCTATTCACAATGCACAATCAATCCCATCAATTCACAATGCACGCCCTAACCCATTTATCATGCTCAAATGCATCGTGCAAATAAATACACAGGCTACCTTACAGGCGACAGTGTTCGATCGGATGTATCACGATCCGCCCGGCCAGTTGGACCGTATCAATCAGCCAAAGCAAAATCACGACGTCGTAGTCGTTCATTGAGCAGTGTCATCGAAAGTTATACAAAAAATGCACCACGAACACAACAATTGATGAATCGAAATGGACGAGAATCACGATCAAAATTCCGTACACCAGTTAATAATCGCATACAATCGCTTAGCGCTGATCGCATGATGAATCCAGTCACACCAAAATGTGAGGCTGGCAAAGCAATGGCTATGCTACGTTATGCAAAACAAGGTGAAACGGTTATTTCCCTACAGGGCAGCCCAGTTGTTGCAACCAGGTAAACAAAATAACAAAAATCATCTTTCGTCATCAACCAAAACACTCAAATTAATTGGAATTTTTTTGTTATTTTCTTTCAGTGTATTGGGTAACAATGCCAATTTGAATATTCCATTAGCTGATGGTGTGATTTGCATTCAACCCGCAATGGGCGGTATGGTTGATCGAGATTTAGTATCACGAATTGACAAGCAAACACTAGACGATTTGCGACAATTGCAAGATAATATCGACATGATTATGCAATGTGTGGCCAATCCGAACTGAATCATCGCGCACACACACACACACACTCGCCCATACAAAACACGAAAAATTACGAACAAATTTCATCTCTTAATGTAGTTAAGCTTCATTTGTCACATTTTTCTCTAGACTTTCTTTTAGTTTTCCTTTTGATTTATTAGGTATTAATAAAACATTGTATCACATGCGATATTTTTGAATTTCGTGAATTAAGAACAAAAATGTATTTCTTTTATTGTAAATATGTCAGTTCATTGGACTGTATAAATATTTTTTCTTTTTTTTTTCAAAAAATGTTATGCAGAACTGAAACTTAATACAGAATTGCGATTATTAAAGAAAAGAAAACATTTTTAGCAAGCGTCAACTTGAATGGCTTTGGCATGAACTTCATCTGTATGTTTTATTTTTAATTTTGATTTTCTCTTGTTTGAAAGTCCATGCCTTTTTCTGTTGAATTACAATAATAATTTGAAATATTTATTAGGTATCAAAAAAAGTAGCCTATAAACCAAAAGAAAGGAAATTCCAAATAGAAGAAAAATAAATTATGAAATCATTCATTAGAACATAATATATAAAAACCATACTATCTATTTCAAATATCCATTGTTTTTCTCTTGTAATTTATTTAAATATGAAACTTTTAAAACGAAAAAAACCGTCGATTTGTTTCAACTTCTTACTTAAAATTGTATAACTTGAATTTGAACAGTATGAAGTGTAAGATAGCCATCTGCTGTTGAATTTAAGAAGCAAAATTGACATTGCGCCAAGTTATTTATCTCACATTCATATGACAATTCATTGAACTGTTAAACGGTTCCTTTGTTTATATTTATTTATTTTATTTTATTTTTTGTTAAAATATAAGGAAATCCTCATCGAAAATGAGCACATTTTCGGGGTTTCTAGACGAAATCGAAAATGTATCGGTTGATCGATTTACAGAGGCCAATTTTCGATCGCGAGCATTTTTCCTTTCGCATTGTCATATGGATCATATGGTTGGATTGAATGAAATAAATTCATTGAATCAATCGCTACCGGGCCCATTGTATTTAAGTGAAATTTCCAAAGTCATAATCCAAAGGCGATATCCGACCATCACAAATTTAATTGCTTTGAAAACCGGAGGTATTAGCGAAAATTCAAAAAGCAACATTATTGTATTCATATTTTTGTAAATAAAAAAATAAATAAATGTTGATTTTTCAGAGACAACACCAATATTGTTTGGCATTTCGATATGTGATAGCAGTGTAACCAAAAAAACATCGGTTACTGCAATACCAGCGGGTCATTGTCCTGGTTCAGTGATGTTTTTGTTTGAACAGGACAATAAAAAGATACTGTACACAGGCGATTTTCGGTTTGTTAAATACTGTGCTTTTTTTCTCTATCATCATTCATTGATCACAATAAATGTTTGCATTTTCAACAGTTTATATCGTAATGACATCGAAACGATGATTGCGCTGAAAAAATTTCACGAAAAAATCAATTTGGACTGTTTATATTTGGATTCAACATTTTTATCATTGGATTATCGAAATTTTCCACGGCAACGCGATAGTGTTAATACAATAATCGATTTGACTGAAAATTGGCTTGATGCACATCCAAAGAATGTTGTATTACTACGACCGCCCGCCAACTATGGCTATGAATTCCTCTTGGTGGAATTGTCGCAATATTTTAAATTTAAGATACATGTCGCTAAATCAACATACAACGATTATTTGTATATTCCAGAATTTGATTCATACATAAGCAGTAATCCGTATTATTGTGGTCGAATACATTTGTGTTCGCCAGACGATGGTAACACGGAATGGAAATCGAAGACCAGTACTTGTTTATCCAAGTTGGACGAACGTCATATTTGTATCATACGACCGACAGCAATGAAATGGAAAAACTTGAATGAAGATGAAAAACACTATGAGGACGTCGTCGGTGTGGCCAATGCATTTTCGGTATGTTATTCAAATCATTCAAGCTACGATGAAATTAAATTTTTGATTCAATACCTTCGACCGACGACCGTCAAATTGAATGTGCTACCGAATCAAATATGCCAAAGAAATGAAATGTATAGCATTTTAGATGATATCACCAAAGAATATAAAGTAGAACAACCGCAAGATGTTGACATGGCCAATGAAAAATTGGTCAACACCAAATATAATTTCTTAAAAATGACATCGTTTACCAACAAACGATCCATGTCCATAGCCAAAGATGACATTTCACAACTGAAAATCAAGCGACGTCGAAAATTCTAGACCAATTGTAGTAAATAACATTGTATTTTAGCTATATTTGTATGTTTTTTCATCTTTTTTTATTTCATTTCTTTTTTTTTTACAACAATTGTATTTAAAGCTTAAATAAATCAATTTTAATACACTTTGCGAGAAACAAAAAAAAATACCGAACCGAATATTATTATTAGTATTATTATTATTGACTTATGTCGCTGATATTAAGCAACGAAATATGTGCTGGCAAAAAGATCGAATGATTTTTGCGCATATGCTGCCGTAAATTGCCATTAGATTGAAATTCCTTGCTGCACAATAGACAATCGAATGTTTTGTGCATCTCCTTGACGTGACTGTAGAGATCGTTGATTTTGGAAAATGTGGATAAACAATATTGGCACATGTGGGATTTACGCATATGAATCATTAAATGATGTGAACCAGCAAACGCTTTTGGGCAATGACTACATTTGTATATTGATTGTGTATCACCGTCAAGTTCCATTGGTGACATGCACAATTCATTAATTTTATCCAAATCGGGTGGTATCACAGCTGATGGTTTCAATGTTTTGATTTTTTTGCGATACGAATCTTGTGAATCTTCATCAACATCGTGTCTAATGTCGAGCGTGTCTTGTAATTCATGTTCATCGAATTCAGCATTTGCAATTATAAAATGTGGTAGACCGATATTCACACCGATATTGACACCGATTTTCTTCTCAGCCGTTGTTGTCTTCACATTCGGTGCTGATTCACTAAGTTTTGTCTTAGTTTTGCGCAATTTTCGTTTGGCTGGTGAATTTTTGGCATTGCTTGTATTTGACTGATCGGATATTTCGAGTTCATCGACGTCATCATCAACATATTCCACCAGTCGATTATCTAATCGCATTACGTTACTATGTTCGATTTTCATAGTTGGTTCAATTTTGAATTTTTCGTCAGATTTTTTAATTTGTTGCCAAAATGAATAGGCAAAAATCAAGGATTCGCTACACGTTTCACACAAATGCACAGACGCGTCCTAACACCAAAAATGAAATGAAAAAAAAAAATGAAAACAAACCATGCAAAGGTGAAATTTGGATTTTCGCTGCAATTTGAAACACAAAGGCTTACATTGTTCAACACGGAAAAACAGTTGTATGCATCAATAAACATTACATCGGTGTCGTTACATTGAAATTTAGTTTCCCATAAGTCATGTTTTCCATCTTCACCGCACACTCTGCACAAACATTTGGCTGGACTCGATGGCGAATCCATTCCTACTCTTCGTTTTTATTTCAATTGAATTATTACAATTTTCGATTTTATTTTGTGGTAATTTTTGTATCATCATCCATATATCAACAATATCTAGATTCGCTGTCAAAACGCACCTTTGATATTCGGGTTAACCGATGTACAATCGCGAATCGTTTCAAACAATGATTCGATTGACAGTTTTTGTTTTTTTGCGCTTAAATAATGTTTTTTTTTTTTAATTTTTAATTCATTTTAATAAAGTTCGACCAAAATCAATCAATTTCATAAAGTCGGTAGCTGTTAATTGTCTGCAAGCCATAAACTGTCGTAATAAAACTGCAACTGAGTGTGAGTGACAAGGTTTACATAGCTCATCAAGAACGCATAACAGAATGTTATACTGAATATTGAGTTGAATTGACGTTTCTCCGGTGCGTACTATATTGTCTCTGTTTTGGTTAAAATGGCGTTTGAGAAATAAAAGAAGTTTTACATGTGTAATTTATCCGGTGAGTTTCATTTCTTTTTCAAAAAACAATAAAAAAAATTACGACATATTCGATTATCGATAAAAACTAAATATATCGCTTGCGAATGCGATTACATTGTGAACAAAAACATCATGATATATAACATTTTTGGGAAAAATTAATTGAAAACAAATTCAATCTCCAGTGTGTTTGTGCTCGGAACAATTGCAGTTGAAGTAGATAATTTTTGGGTATTTGTTTGATTGGACCTTAATAAGAAATTCGGTGGGTTTTGAACATTTTCTTTTTTTCGACAAATTTACGATGATTATGCAAAAGAAAATTTGCTCGTCTTTTATGTGCCCTAAATGGGGAACACTACATAAAAACACATTACAACTATACACTCATAAAATTAAATTATTTGTCAAAAATTGATCATTTTTCATATCGAACCATTGTTCCAGTGAAAATCCATTGAACCGAAAAATAATTCAATAATTTTTTACCTTCAATTTTTTTTTCACTTTGTATAAATTAGGTAACATTGACTAATAAAGTGAGTTAATCGCAATCAGCGAAAAGAAACACATACATATACGCGTGCTGAGTATTTTTCATCCACATTGTTTTCTACGGAAAATGCATAAACATTGAAGTGCTATCATTTTTGTGCGTAATTGAACATAATATTTTGATCAATCACCAAAAATATGGTATACGTTATGTTACTGTATGGCAGACAAGAGAACATTTTCTCTTTAAACAGATTTATTCTAAAGAAACGAAAAACAAAACAAACAATCAATGTATTGCAGTGTGAAATTACATAAGAATTTTTTGTGTTTAGCCATTCGAAGAAACATGCAAAATGTACATTTGGTGAAAACCAAAACACAACAATTCCAGAATTACATTATTCATTCGGTGATGTTTTTTCATTCGTTTTGTATTCTATCAAATTCGAAAAATCATCGGATGTGTGCTAAAAACGAACAACAAAACACTGTTTGACGCAATTCTATTTTGGTTTGTATAAACATGAACAATCCGTCTGTATGTGTAAAGAGTGGTTTTGCGCTCAATTGAAACTATGTGTTGTATGTATTGTTTATGTGTATTTGACAACGTTTTATTTTTCGTCATTGTTGTTGTTAATGTGAAAATTCGTAGGCAGAGAGTTACAGTTAGATTGTGAAAATACATGTGATTTTTTTTTCGTTGACTCGCCGTTTCAATTGAAAATCCAAAATAATCGATGATATTTTGAGATGATTTAATTGGCCTGAATAAAATATTAATCCATTGTTGCAATCGAAAAAAATGGAAAATTTGCGCCAGATGCACTTTGTGATGCATGTTAGAATTGCACATCTAAATGCAGAGGCGCATGTGAGAGCAAAGAAATTCGCTGTATCACAATCATGTTATTCTCACTGTGTATTGAAATAACGCGTATGAATCATTGCCGTTCGGAACGGTCACACATTTGGTGTGTATGTGCTATGTTGATCCAATATGTGTAAAAAGAATTTGTCGAAATCGTGGCATGTGTTCGAATGTGAGTGTGTATGATGAAATAAATTAGCAAAAATTTCATTATTATTATTTTTGTTCGATGTGCTGCGCTTGCGTAATACCTATTTCGCGCATTTTTTGATTTCTTTGCGCTTCACTCTCTTAGATTTGAAACTTGGATGTTGATGCCGTTGCCGTCGTTGTCGTCATCGTCGTTGCGATTGCCGTTGACATTTCTTTTTTTTCCCTATCAGTTCATTCATTCAATTCGGTACACTCTTGGTCTCAACTGAATTTTCCGAACATTTGTTCGTCAGTTTTATACGGTCGTTGCGATCACTTTGCCGTTTATATATTTTCTTTTAAATATCGATGAGTGTGCTACAAATGTGTGCCGGGTAAAAGTGGTTTATCTGTCGATTTTCTTCATCTGAACAAAAAGAGTAAAAAAAATCTGTTTTTCTTTTTTGCTTTATTTTTACACCTATACACGTATACATATTTACATTCTGTACGTTGAATGAATCGAAATATATTGTTTATTGAAAATCTTCGCATGACAGATTATGGACAATTTTTCCCTTGGTTGTGTATAAATTGCAATTCTTCGATTGATCTGATAGCTATATTTATCTAATGCGATGATCAAGTGATTTATCATTGCAACAACGCATACATTCTTGATATCATGTACACATGATATTGTGCAAATAAAATAAACATTATTCACTCGTTTAAACACTAAATATAACATCGATACGGAATGAAAATACAGCCAAAAGTCAATGTATTTTCACAACGTATATGTTTTGAGTAATTGCCATGGATTCGATAACCAAAAGAAAAATATTTAATTTGGTCATTATCATATGATATAAAGAAAAAACGTTTAAAGCAAGATCAAATTTAAAAATCAACGTAGAATGATGTGAGTGACGGTTTGAGCGCCGTCTTAAATATATATTCATATAGGCGTGAAAGTGTCTAATCAAATTTTAAATTCATTGTTTTTGTTTGTCTGGATGCAATTATTATGGTTTTCTTACGATTATTTCGAAAACGTATAAATTTATTTAAAAACAAAAAGCCGTTTATATTATTTTTAAACTATTATTCTAGTTTTGTGTGGCATTTAAACGGCCATTGAATGTGAGAGTATATTTTTGAAAATCAATCGCCACATCAATTCAGTTCCACAACCCAATCGAACACACGGTACGGACACGACCGTTCGTACACACCAAAAATGTTGATGTTTCGCTAAAAAAAATGTGCGATGCCCAGTGAGATCATACAGTGTGATTTGAATAATACAGAGTTCCCAATACTTTCCAACGAAATTTTAAAAGAAGCTGAGAAAAAAAAAGACTCTTTACATTTGATATGAGATATTTCATGAATCTGTGATAGAATAATACATGAGATCGTTTAGCTATTTTTAAAATTATTTTGAGGCCAAAAATGTCGTCTTGTGTATTTTGATTTGGTGTGAAACCGTTTATATATATACTTTTTTACTATGCGAGAAACGTTGTGAACGAGAAGGCGGTTTCTCACCAACCAAATCTAACTAAATTGACTGTTGAGCAAAATGTGTGTGCAAGACGACGAAGATGTTGTCGCGAACGTTGAATGCGGGAAAAATCGAGCGATTGTTAGATGAACTTACGCACTTTCACGTTTTGAATTGAATTAACAACATAGCAGAACAATATTTTTCAAAACGACCGTATTTTTGCTTTTTTCATTGTGCGACCGTTTTATGAAGACAAAACGATAAAGATCGCAGTCATTTTTTAAACTTCAGAAGTTCAATATGATATTATACATATTAGGAAATTCGAATAACTAACTAATTTGTATTTTATTCCAAAAATAACAGACATGGTTTGCTATGAGGAAGGAAATGCACAATGTATTCATATAAAAAATATGATACCTGGTGCTAGCACTAAAAAAATTACACTTATGGTGCGTCCGTCTAACAGAGTGTCCACACTTTTCAGCGATATAAAAAATCAAATGCAGGTCGATAATTTTGACATTTCATTACAAACATCAGCGTCAGAAGAGGAGGAGGTAATTTAATTTCAAGAAATACACAAATTTATGTTCCCATAATATGTGTCTAAAGTTTTATTGCTAATTTCCATTATGACGTTATTATTATTTTTGCGTAGATTTTAATTAGTGAAAATGAGGATAAAACATTATCGGAAATAGGCATAGATTTTTCATCGACAAAGAATAAAACAACGATTAAACTAGTGCCAACCAGTCAATCAGTGCATCGAAGATCGGCTATTGTGAGTGAAGCTGATTCAACGTTACAGTTGGATGATGAAGAATTGGCGCTCGGAGCATCGGCAAGTCCGGTTGAACCAACAAGTTCACCGATTCCATTGCCACTGTTCAGCGAAGAGCCGGTGACACGGAATCACAATGATTCGATTTCCTTATATCCATGTACGTGCAACACACGTGAAATACACATCATCGATACTAAAATTTAAATGTATATATTTTTTTGTAAATATTTACAGCATCTTCCTCACGTTCATCATCTGGTTATGTTGGTCTAGTAAATCAAGCGATGACCTGCTATCTCAATAGCTTATTACAAGCTCTGTATATGACGCCCGAATTTCGAAATGCACTGTACAATTGGGAATATGATGGTACAGATGCTTCCAAAAATATACCGTATCAATTGCAACGGTTATTTGTTAATTTGCAAACATCAACGAAAATGTCCGTCGAAACGACAGATTTGACGCGTAGCTTTGGTTGGGATTCAACTGAAGCATGGCAACAACATGATATTCAGGAATTATGTCGTGTTATGTTCGATACGCTTGAGCAAAAATTCAAGGATACAGCACAGGCCGATTTTATCAATCGTTTATACGAAGGCAAAATGATTGATTATGTTAAATGTTTGGATTGTGGAACGGAAAAATCGCGTGAGGATAAATTTTTGGATATTCCATTGCCAGTTCGACCGTTTGGCAGTACAATTGCATATGATAGCGTTGAAGAAGCACTACGTGCATTTGTCGAACCCGAAACACTCGATGGAAACAATCAATATCATTGTGAAAAATGTAATAAAAAGTGCGATGCTCACAAAGGATTGAAATTCTCAAAATTTCCGTACATTTTAACGCTGCATCTTAAACGCTTCGATTTCGATTACCAAACATTTTTACGCATTAAACTAAACGACAAGTAAGCAACAAAATATGTTCTTTGTCATTGGAATATCATTGGCATTTGTTTACATTAACAAAATTGATGTTTCCTTTCATTATTTTTTTTGTTGTTGTTGTTGTTTACTTTCAGAGTGACTTTTCCTCAAACGTTGAATTTAAATAGCTTTATTAAAGAAACTGATATAAATACGGCATTCGGCCATACGAATAGCTCGTCATCGTCGTCAAATCATTGTGATACAACGTCCTCAGAGCATGGTAGTGTAGAAAGTGCCATCAAATGTGACGATTGTAGTACAACCGATTCTGGATCCATTTTAGAAGAAGATGTAGCCACAACCAATCTAGCGAATGCACACCATCGAACTGATTTGGAGGCTCAAGACGATGATGAGGGCATCGATATGACCAGCAGTAGTACAGAGACAAAATCAATATTGGGCAATGATCCAGGACCATACAATTATGAATTGTTCTCAATCATGATTCACTCAGGTAGCGCATCTGGCGGACACTACTATGCATACATCAAAGAATTTGAAAATGGTGAATGGTTTTGTTTCAATGATCAAAGCGTATCTCCGGTAAGTATCATCCAAAACCAAAGTCCAATCACGCGTTCACATTCAAATCGACGAAAATAATGTTGAAACAATATTCAAATATATTTTAGATAAGTAAAGAGGATATTGAAAAATCATATGGTGGTTCATTGGGTACACGAACATTTTATTCAAGTGCATATAGCTCAAGCACAAATGCATACATGTTGATGTATCGACAAATGGATCCGCGCCGAAATGTGTCAGCCATAAAGCGAGAAGCTTTTCCTGACCACATAAGGGTACGTAAATATGCAAAAAAAAAAACTTATAAATGAAAAAACTAAATAGATCGTTTGAATCTTATTTGCAGAAATTGCAGAATACATTGAAAGAGGAAAGTGAAAAGAAACTGCGACAAACCGAATACAATTTGCAAAAGTATAAAGTGTATTGGTTTGATCAGCGTACCCAGCAAATGGCAAATGTTCGCATGTTTATGGATTCAGATGCTACTTTGGAAGATGCCTTGGAAAGTGCATACAAACGTTTTAAATTGCAAAATATTGCGTCAATGTCACGTTGTCGTCTGGTTGCCTACGACAGCAACGAAGAAAATGTTTTATGCAGTTTTGATGGAAAAGAATTGGAAAAAATTCGAGATCTATTGAGCGAATTATCATCATCCGAATTATTGTTGGAGATTCGTGACGAAGATTCGAAATTCGATGTTTATGTACCTGGTGATATTGAAACAAAAGTGTATACCATTGATATATGTTCAGGGGATATTGATGGTCCATACATTGTTCGCATACATAAGAATGCAGTCGTTAGAAAATACAAAGAGGTGCTAGCCCAAAATCTTAGCATACCGATTGATGATATTTCATTGGCTGCATTCAAATATTCAGCGCCAGCTCTTCTGGATCAAGACAATGCAATACTTTCGGATGAAGATGTAAGTGGCAATGAATCTGGATTTTTTTCGCTTTTCTTATAATTGTCTCTTGTTTTTTTTTTTATTTATAGGTGAATCACAAATCAAAAATATTTGTCGCTAAACGAACTGTATCAAGTGATTCGAAGAATTTCTTAAAGATTGTCGAAAAATCCAATCATATCATTTCGTTATATTTTACGTTACCAAAAACTGACAAAGGTACAGTTCGATTGAAATTATTATTTTTTTTTTTTCATAAAATGTGTGCTACATCAAATACTGATATTGATTTGATTTTTCCATAACAGAAACATTGGAAAAACTGTCGATTCCATCCTATGATCCAACGGCAACGAAACTTTCGCCTCGAATTCATAATAGTTTAGCCAGTAGTCTAACGAGTAGTCGATCACGTCAGGTAGAAAACGGTGATGTTGTCGATGCTGTCATGAATTCACCGCCAGTTGTTGACTACAGAAATAGTTCAACGATGAATCCTCATAATCAAATGGAACCGGAAAGTAATAGTGAAGACAGTAGTTTGAGTGATGGTGATCGAACATTGGTTGGTGATGTTAGTCCAATATTAAGTGCAAGCAATTCACCGGCATGTTCTGAACGACATTTGTCCAGTCCAGAAGATCATACCAAAATCAATGGCGACGCTTATGGTGATGATGACACCGATATGCTTGATATGATTCAATCGAAAAAATATTATTTCAAAGCAAATTATTACGAAGAGCCAATTGTTGTCGATAACAATGAAGAGCCAATTCGTCGAACATTATCGGTATTGGTCGATAGTCACATGAATGTTGCAAATTTGAAACGTGTACTTGAGCCATATATCAAAGTTCCTATGGAATATTTTAAAATTTTCCGACACAACTCATCTCAAAATGAAATTGAATGTACGAGATTAAATGATGATTTGCGATCGTTCAAGTAAGTGCTTTCTTCAATTATTTAGTTATTTGTTTGTTATTTGATGTTTATTGTTTATTATTTACACTTATTTAACACAGTGATGGCGAACGTTTAACCATTGAATTGGGACGAGCACTTCGTAGTGGTGAATATAAATGTAAAGTTTACTACATGAAATTGTCAGAGATAAATGATACGAGCGAAACGCTTACATTTTTATGTGATTGGATTTTGTGTAATGGTGCCAGTGTTGGTAAAACAAAGCGCGAAATTTTAGCTCAAATCGCTAGTAATGATCCACAATATGAAATCCCATACGAACGTTGTAGATTGCGGAAAAAGAGCGCCAATGCTCCTGGCAAAATCTTTTTGGATGATCAAGTGTTTGGTGATGATGTAATTTTGCTTTCGAATTATGAGGTTCGTTGGTTACTCTATCTTCGTAACATTTTCATAAGTTCTGACTCAGAGTCATAACGACGATCAATTTTATAACAATTTTTTGTTTGTTTTATTTGTTGATTTAGATTATTGTACAAGAGCTAGAAGACCAAAATCAACAAGTTTCAGATGAAAAAAGCTTAACAATATTCATTCGTAGATGGTATCCGTCCGAAATGAGACTGGGACCATTTAATGAAATCACCATTTATGGTAATATTTGAAATTTAATACAAAACTAAACGAAACGAATAAAATGCTGTCTATTTACACAGAAAAAGATAATATGAAATCGGCTCTTTCACAACATTCTGGCATCACCGAAGAAAATGTTGAATTTGCTAAGGTAAATCAGACTCAAAGTGTGAATATGATTATGATTTAATGCGATTTTTTTTTGTTTCGATTTTCCGATTGAATAGTCGCAAGGAACGTTCCCCAATCACAATGTTAGCATACTAGAAATTCACACGTCGATGCTATGGAATTCAAATCCAACCACATTAAATGAGTTCCCTTTGAGTAATTCACAGGATGGCATCATGTTCTTCTATAGGTACGCACACTAAGTCCATTGAAAGAAATCCAACAAATGTATTAATTATAACATTATTTGGTTCACTTTCTGCAGAGATAAAACGGAGGAGCTGAAACAATTGTCGCCAACCGAAAGACAAGAATTGAAAAACCAAGATGCACGAAATGGTTACGGTGCATCCAATTCATATGATCGCATGAGCCGGCGACGAGAACGGGCACTTAAAATATATGTGGATTCGTCACCAAAAAAACGAGACGAATGAAACCATCAACAAATCAAAATGCATATAGTAGCTAGATACCATACAATAAACTCATTTTTTTCTGTAATTAAAACTTTTAAATTAATTGCTATTTTAATTGTTTTTTTATAAGCAACATCCTAAATGCAAAAGTGAGACTTATATTTTTATTTTGATAAATAGACACGATCTTTCTTTCGTTCTCAATGCAAATACATTGTACATCTTATCTCTTATAGTTACGTGAATGAAAAATAGAACGAATACAACAAGCTTGAAAGTTAGAAGCGACAAAATAATTAAATTTAAATCGTTTTAACGCACAACATTGAATAAATGTGTTTTAAAATCAAATTTTTGGCATTTATATATTATTGATTTATCTACATCATTTTTTATTTAATTTCGAAATAATTTTCATGACTTTCAGGATTTTAACTTTTAGGTCAAATTCGACTTTTAGAACTTCAAAACGTTTATTTTAAAAATTTTAAATATCCATCATATTTATGTGCAAGATTTCTGTAATTTTCTTTCCACATCTCCAAAAAAAGAAAACAATAGAATTGATTGTTATAGGGATTGTAGCAATGTAAGTGTTTTTATAACCATGACAATCTTTTCTATTGTTTTCACTCAATTTCAGCTCCTGACGAAATCTGGCTGAGCTGATTCATCTGGCTGAAAATATCTCATTATAATTCTCTAACTACTTGACTACATGATTATTTAATGAAATTTATATTATTTATACACTGTATATAGACGCTGTAAATATCTAAGTTCAGCCAGCATTTGGCGGTGAAATAAATCTAATCTAATCCAAATCGTTAAAAATGGTGCATAACCGTCGATAAATGCTCATAATTGTCATTTTCGAAAGTCATTTTCGAGTTGCCCCTAGAGAAATGATGTTCCCATCTTATTTCCACATCGGCCAAAAGTTGCCAAATAGATGGTCAACCGTGGAAAATTTCGTATATTTACAAGAACTATTTGGTTGCGAGTTCGGGCCCAAAAGGTGTTGGCATAGATGATGACGAGCTTTCCTAGTGGTCGGATGACCCCCCTAAAATATGTTTAGGAACCCTCAAGAATTTTGGAAATGTGGAACTTTTTTTTGCTCTTCATTTTTTTGGCCGAGAAAGTTCTTCCGATTTGCTAGGGATTTTCGCCTCAAAAAGTGAATTCGAAAAAAAAGGTTTTCTTGTCATTTTTGGATTTGCAAGGCAATTTGAAGTAGGAAAATTCTTTCGATTTGCTAGGGATTTTCGCCAAAAAAGTGAAGAGAAAAAAAAACGATTTTATCCTCATTTCGTACAAATTGTTGACATCGCCCCCATGCATTTTTCCAGGGATCCCCTACGAAATTTTGCCATCACTTGCAGGACTGACCACTTGCAGCTATTCTGTTTAAAAATTGAATTTACGGTTTGTGACACATGAGCGATCCATGTTGGGTCATTACATCTGTCCCGAGATTGTTGGTGAGGCGGTTTACACATTTCTAAGGGGTGAAATCGGGTTCGAAATTTGATTTCGGCGCTACAATACCAAAAACATCAAAATCGTAGAAGAAATTATGAAAATATACAGAGTTGCTGAGCTACTCTTCACAAGGATCGCTAACGTTGATGAATTTCTACTGGCAGCGTCTTCAACCTGTGCGGCAGGTGCGGATTGATCAGTTTCATTATGACTGGAACCAGAGGACAGACCACTTGCAGCCACGGCATCAGTTCGATGAAACGATGTGTCCAAACCAATACGTTTCACCTATCGCCTATTGCATCTCCCACGCGCTGTCATTTCCAAACTAGGCAACAATTTAACGCGCTAGAATCTCCACGATGTGGATATCAAAATATTTAATAAAAATAAAATGAAATGAAAAAAAGAACAACAATAAAAAATTTGTTTTCGTCTAGGGGCTCGGAAGTATTTTTTATTGATGAAAAAAAAAACCATATTCACAAATAATGATATATTTTGAGTTTAAACAATAATAATCACCATATTCACGAATATTGGTACATTTTGAGTGTGAACAATACTGTGAATAATCATGAATATTCCCAATATTTTGATTATCGTAAATATGAAAATGGCGGCAAATGATGTATGTCATTTTGTGGAATGTTATTTATAAAATCACACAAGCTTAGAGCACTTTTACCTATACATTTTTGATGTTCTTCAGTCAAATTATTTTTTTATCAAAGAAATATAAGTTTTTTAGGCTGAAATCTCTTTTTATATAATAAAAACAACAACTATTTATTTTATTTTGTGTTGTGTGTGTTTTACATCGGTGCCATATACGAGCTGAATAATGACAAATAATTACGTAAATATGAGAAATATTCAAAATATTCTCAATATTTTCCATTTATACACCACATTCATACAAAATTGTCAAAACTGTGTTTATTTTGATTTTTTTTTCATGTTCCGAGCCCCTAGGTTTTCGTACTCGCACGTTTCCAAAGGGCGCTCAATGATTCTAATCGATTCCATTATGGATCCCTTCGAAAATTACATTTTGTGCAAATATAAACACACCTTCTCTCAATAACAACGGTCCTAAATGAAGAATAATAATCATTTATTACCCGAATTAAGGTACTAGTGAAGTTTCAAGTGATTTGGATGAAAATAGAACAGTTTTTACACAAAATTTTCGTTTCCTTTTTCGATTTTTCTTAAATCGAAGAATGTACTAAAGATAAAACACATCTCCATAAATTATTGTGATTTGAAGCTGAAATGCTTTTCAACCAAAATAATTGATTAAAATTTTAGTATACAGTTATTTGGACGTTCCATATAAGTCGAAGGCTGATATTTTTATTGAACATTGGAAAATTTAGAAATGCATGGGTCAGAATAAAAATCCGGCTTGTACACAGAGTCTATAAAAGTTGGACACAGAGTTTTTTTTAACATAAAATAAACAATGCAAAATTGATATTACATTGCTATAAAATCATTATTTTTCCACTAGAATCGAAAGAATTATCTTATTAATATGTCAGAGAATTTGGCTCAAAAAACCCTAGCAAATTGAAGGTTTTCTCCCGCTTCAGAAAGTAGAAAGCAATTTTCCCTAGCAAATCGAAACAATTTTTCGATTATTTTTCTGTATTTGTAAAGGAGTAATTTCCAAATATGTTGTCAAAAGCTATGGATATGGTCGTTTATATATTATCAATATACTGTCTGCATCATATCCTATAAGATTTTTTTAATGTTTGTCAAATTACTTGAACTTTTCTCTAGAAATTTGAGAGCCCCCAAAATAGTTGGGCCCTGCAACATCATTTTTTATTTTGCACTATAATCCGCTACTGTATTATTTCTCCGATATTGATAAGCGGTCAATGTTATAAAATATATGAATATTTTTGTACTATCTACTATACAATCTACCTCTTAAGAAACTGATTTGTTGCATAAAAATTAACTAATTACTTAGATTGAAGCTTAAAAAAATGTGAAATTAAAATTAACATTCATGGTATATCCTTCAGTTTCTATTTTCACCATTGTTGATAAATGTATAACAAGAAACCAAGAATGTATGTCGATAAATAACAGCACAATCCCATTTTATTACATCACAACATATTATCCATCATAATGACAGAGCGTTCGTTATATTTACTTTATTTGACAATAAAAATGTTTTGGTTCCATGACAAATTGGAATTTACCACTTTCCGAGGATTTTTTTTATGTATGCGTGTATGTTGGCGTTGGTAGAAAATGTTAACATATGAATGATGTGATAGATCGACTTTGGGTCATGTTCATGTTATCTTGTTATTCCATTCATGAGACCAACGATCTGTTTTAACGCAAACCATTTTCCGTCCACTGACGCATATTTTTCGACCATACTGAATTGTGTTTTCTCGTGATTGTGCAATTTCTAGGATATAGAAAATATGGAAATAACAAATCATTCTTTAGAAATATTAGTGAAAGCAAGAAGAAAAAAAGAATCGATTTTCTTCTACTTATGCTCAAAAGTGGTTCGAAGAAATGTGTGTTTTTCTTCGCTCATAGAGTTTTTGTTTGATTTTTACGCGCTGTTATACACTGTATGAAATCATAATAACAGTGACTATAAAAATAATATGTATTTTTTTCTACATTTTTCCATATGATGGAATTGATTGACCATTAAATACACACAAAGGTCATCAGAGTGCTGTCAATTTCATGCCAATCACAGACTTAATGCTCAAAACATTCGACTATTAACGAAAAGTACCAATTTTCTTCCGTTTGCGAAACGAAGTGCCACTTTGTAGCACATCAGATGAGATGATGCTGGTAAAATTCATCTCTATAGATAGAATGTGAACTAAAACTTATGTGAACTAAATTGTGATCATGTCAATGAACTAATAAACCGTCAAAATTTACTTTCCATAGAAAAATTATAAGCCCATAGGTAATAAGCGATATGTCCAATCAAATGGACTTAGCGAGAGTTTTTTTAATTTGAAAATGTGGTTCAAAGCATTTACTTGGATAGACTGTACTTACTTGGATGGATATATACATACATAGCCAGAAAACATTTTACATTTTGTAATAATTTAATAAATGTAATATTTCTTCAAAAATCTCTTGAAACAGTTCATGATGTTAAATGTTTTTTTTTTAATAATCCGGTGAATTATGTACCCAAAATCGATGCTGTGTCAAAAACACATTTTGTACAGTTTATTATCCTCATGATTTTTGTTACCGCCGAAGAATTACCATTCTATTTGATTTTGTATTCTCGTGTTTGCGCGATTTCGTTGTGAAATATTTTATTTTAAAACCTCGTGAAGTATGTCGCACAAACATAAACTTACTACAAATTATAGTCGTAACGATATTTTAAAGTTAACAAAGTATTGCGGTTGTTTTTTGTTGTTAATGAAATGTATCATTATACACAATGGTGGTGTGATTCAAAATTTATGCCACATCCAAAGTGTGACTGCAATCTTGTTTCCGCTTCATTTCATTGAATATATCTTGTTCTTTGTGTTTGTCAAAGTTTTTGTTTGTTATGTTTGCTGTTCACGGAGCTTAAAAAGTAG